TTGAATCTACCCTTAGAAGTGACATGCCATCACTTTCATTCCTTAGAGACCGATGCATAAGTCCTGGCCACACTCAGTGGAAGGGGAGGATACCCGGGTGTGGGCAGCAGGAGGGTAGCCAGTAGGCAGCCTTGTCTGTGGTGCAGCAGAGCGCGGTGGGCTTAATGTCCCAAGTCTAGCTTTGTACTTGAGTTGTATCTCGCTATTTTTAACGTTCTCAGGCGAGGGTCGTTTTTTCAGTCGGTTGGAAGCTAGTCAGTCCTAAAGCTGTTTGACTGTACTTAGCAGTTTGAGTGTCATGAAGAGAGTCTCTCTTCTTAGAACCACTGTCTGAATTGTGGAAGTGCTTGTTTAGAACTTAAAACCTTAGTAGCTTCTGATGTACTATCAGTGTAAAGAAAATGAAGTTTCTTTAACATATTTTTCTTTTCTTTTTTATTGCATTTTAGGTTTTGGGGTACATGTGCAGAACATGCAAGATAGTTGCATACGTACACACATGGCAGTGCGATTTACTGCCTTCCTCCCCATCACCTATATCTGGCATTTCTCCCCATGCTATCTCTCCCCAACTCCCCACCCCCCGCTGTCCCTTCCCTATTCCCCCAACCGACTCCAGTGTGTAGTGCTCCCCTCCCTGTGTCCATGTGTTCTCATTGTTCAACACCTGCCTATGAGTGAGAACATGCGGTGTTTCATTTTCTGTTCTTGTGTCAGTTTGCTGAGAATGATGTTCTCCAGGTTCATCCATGTCCCTACAAAGGACACAAGCTCATTGTTTTTGATGGCTGCATAATATTCCATGGTGTATATGTGCCACATTTTCCCTGTACAGTCTATCATCGATGGGCATTTGGGTTGGTTCCAGGTCTTTGCTATTGTAAACAATGCCGCAGTGAACATTCGTGTGCATGTGTCCTTATAGTAGAACGATTTATAATCCTTTGGATATATACCCAGTAATGGGATTGCTGGGTCAAATGGAATTTCTATTTCTAGGTCCTTGAGGAATCGCCACACTGTCTTCCACAATGGTTGAACTAATTTACACTCCCACCAGCAGTGTAAAAGTGTTCCTATTTCTCCACATCCTCTCCAGCATCTGTTGTCTCCAGATTTTTTAATGATCGCCATTCTAATTGGCGTGAGATGGTATCTCAATGTAGTTTTGATTTGCATCTCTCTGATGACCAGTGATGAGCATTTTTTCATGTTTGTTGGCCTCATGTATGTCTTCTTTTGTAAAGTGTCTGTTCATATCCTTTGCCCACTTTTGAATGGGCTTGTTTGCTTTTTTCCTGTAAATCTGTTTGAGTTCTTTGTAAATTCTGGATATCAGCCCTTTGTCAGATGGGTAAACTGCAAAAATTTTTTCCCATTCTGTTGGTTGCCAATTCACTCTAATGACTGTTTCTTTTGCCGTGCAGAAGCTGTGGAGTTTGATTAGGTCCCACTTGTCTATTTTGGCTTTTATTGCCAATGCTTTTGGTGTTTTGTTCATGAAGTCCTTGCCTACTCCAATGTCCTGAATGGTTTTGCCTAGATTTTCTTCTAGGGTTTTTATGGTGTTCAGTCTTATGTTTAAGTCTTTAATCCATCTGGAGTTAATTTTAGTGTAAGTTGTCAGGAAGGGGTCCAGTTTCTGCTTTCTGCACATAGCTAGCCAGTTTTCCCCACACCATTCATTAAACAGGGAATCCTTTCCCCATTGCTTGTTTTTGTCAGGTTTATCAAAGATTGTATGGTTGTAGATATGTTGTGTTGCCTCCAATGCCTCTGTTCTGTTCCATTGGTCTATATCTCTGTTTTGGTACCAGTACCATGCTGTTTTGATTACTGTAGCCTTGTAGTATAGTTTGAAGTCCAGTAGTATGATGCCTCCCGCTGTGTTCTTTTTACTTAGAATTGACTTGGCTATGCGGGCTCTCTTTTGGTTCCATATGAAGTTTAAGGTGGTTTTTTCCAGTTCTGTGAAGAAGATCATTGGTAGCTTGATGGGGATAGCGTTGAATCTGTAAATTACTTTGGGCAGTATGGCCATTTTCACAATATTGATTCTTCCTAACCATGAACATGGAATGTTTCTCCATCTGTTTGTGTCCTCTCTTATTTCATTGAGCAGTGGTTTGTAGTTCTCCTTGAAGAGGTCCTTAACGTTCCTTGTTAGTTGTATTCCTAGGTATTTTATTCTCTTTGTAGCAATTGTGAATGGCAGTTCGTTCTTGATTTGGCTCTCTTTTAGTCTGTTATTGGTGTGTAGGAATGCTTGTGATTTTTGCACATTGATTGTGTATCCTGAGATTTTGCTGAAGTTGCTTATCAGTTTCAGGATATTTTGGGCTGAGACGATGGGGTCTTCTAGATATACAATCATGTCGTCTGCAAATAGAGACAATTTGGCTTCCTCCTTTCCTATTTGAATACCCTTTATTTCTTTTTCTTTCCTGATTGCTCTGGCTAGAACTTCCAGTACTATATTGAATAGGAGTGGTGACAGAGGGCATCCTTGTCTAGTGCCAGATTTCAAAGGGAATGCTTCCAGTTTTTGCCCGTTCAGTATGATATTGGCTGTTGGTTTATCATAAATAGCTTTTATTATTTTGAGATACGTTCCGTCAATACCGAGTTTATTGAGGGTTTTTAGCATAAAGGGCTGTTGAATTTTGTCAACGGCCTTCTCTGCGTCAATTGAGATAATCATATGGCTAAACAGGCCGCTAGCATCAAAATGGCAGTATCAAATTCACACATAACAATATTAACCCTAAATGTAAATGGACTAAATGCAGCAGTCAAAAGACACAGACTGGCAAATTGGATAAAAAGTCAAAACCCATTGGGGTGCTGTATCCAGGAAACCCATCTCACATGCAAGGATACACAAAGGCTCAAAATAAAGGGATGGAGGAAGATTTACCAAGCAAATGGAGAGCAAAAAAAAGCAGGAGTTGCAATTCTCGTCTCTGATAAAATAGACTTTAAAGCAACAAAGATAAAAAGAGACAAAGAAGGATATTACATAATGGTAAAAGGATCGATACAACAAGAAGAGCTAACGATCCTAAATATATACGGACCCAATACAGGATCACCCAGATACATAAGGCAAATTCTTAACGACTTACAAAGAGACTTAGACTCCCAGACAATAATAGTGGGAGACTTTAACACCCCATTGTCAGTATTAGACAGATCAACTAGACAGAAAATTAACAAGGATATCCAGGACTTGAACTCAGACCTGGAACAAGCAAACCTGATAGACATTTACAGAACTCTCCACCCCAAATCCACAGAATATACATTCTTCTCAGCACCACATCACACCTACTCTAAAATTGACCACATAATTGGAAGTAAATCACTCCTTAGCAAATGGAAAAGAACAGAAATCATAACAAACAGTTTCTCAGACCACAGTGCAATCAAGTTAGAACTCAGAATTCAGAAATGAACGCAGAACCGCACAGCTTCATGGAAACTGAACAACTGGCTCTTGAATGTTGACTGGATAAACTATGAAATGAAGGCAGAAATAAAGAAGTTCTTCGAAACCAAGGAGAATGAAGACACCACATACCAGAATCTCTGGGACACATTTAATGCAGTCTCTAGAGGAAAATATATAGCAATAAGTGCCAACGTGAGAAGAGTTGAGATCCAAAATTGACACCCTATCGTCAAAATTGAAAGAACTAGAGGAGCAAGATCAAAAAAACTCAAAACCTAGCAGAAGACAAGAAATAACGAAGATCAGAGCAGAACTGAAGGAGATAGAGACACGAAAAACCCTTCAAAAAATCAATAAATCCAGGAGCTGGTTTTTCGAAAAGATCAACAAACTAGACAGACCACTATCTAGATTAATAAAAAAGAAAAGAGAGAATAACCAAATAGATGTAATAAAAAATGATAAAGGGGAAATCACCACAGATCCCACAGAAATTCAAACCATCATCAGAGAATATTACAACAACTCTATGCACATAAACTAGTAAACCTGGAAGAAATGGATAAATTCCTGGACACTTGCGTCCTCCCAAGCCTTAACCAGGAAGAAGTCGAAACCATGAATAGACCAATAACAAGATCTGAAGTTGAGGCAGCAATTAAGAGCCTACCACACAAAAAAAGCCCAGGTCCAGATGGATTTACAGCCGAATTCTGCCAGACACACAAAGAGGAGCTGGTACCATTCCTTCTGAAACTATTCCAAATAATCCAAAAAGAGGGAATCCTTCCCAAATCATTTTATGAGACCAATAACATCCTGATGCCAAAACCCAGCAGAGACTCAAAAAGAAAAGAAAACTTCAGGCCAATATCCATGATGAACATAGACACAAAAATCTTCAATAAAATACTGGCAAGCCGATTGCAACAGCACATCAAAAAGCTTATCCACCATGATCAAGTAGGATTCATCCCGGGGATGCAAGACTGGTTCAACATACGCAAGTCTTTAACATATTTTTCTAAGACCATAATTGTACCTTATGTTTTAAAAACTTTGCAAGGTGCTTGGTAGCTTGTAACAGCAACTTTCTGAGCCATCATTAGGCTTCACAGAAACTCCCAGTACAGAAGGTGGTGGAAGGGGTTGTCAAGTAAGTATCATGCTTGTTACTCTACGGAAGGTTTCGGAGGCATGTAAGGAGTCCTTTTTTATTCTGAGCAGTCTGTTTTCTTGTGGTATCATCTTACCTATAAAATAGGACACACTGACTTAGAACTAATATCTGTGAAACTGAAATAAACGTATTTTTCATGACATTTCTCTGGCCTTTATCAAAGGCTGAAATGCCCTTTTTTTAGTAGCGTAGCTTGGCAGAGAAGAAACAGCACGGTACTCGAGTCGGTACACCTGCCTTTCAGCCCTAGCTCTGTCGCTGAACGTGTTTGAGCTGGCGAAATTTGTTCACCATTTCTGATTTCATATTTCTCATATGATGTCTTCTTCCACCTTTAAAATGCTACTCAATTTTCTTTTTTCTCCTTAGGACAGCCTTGGGGGTAACAGCAAGACCGCCATGGTGGCTACTGTGAGTCCTGCAGCTGATAACTATGACGAAACCCTCTCAACACTGAGGTATGCAGATCGAGCCAAGCACATCGTTAACCACGCTGTGGTAAATGAGGACCCTAATGCCCGAATTATCCGGGATCTCCGGGAAGAAGTTGAGAAACTCCGAGAGCAGCTGACGAAAGCAGAGGTACGAGGCACAACTGCGCATCCCTGTGAGTCCAGAAGGGGGAGCCAGGCGAGAGCTTGAATTTTCTTCCCCTGGGCTGTGAGTGAGGAGGACTCTACTTAAAATTTGTGAATTTCTTACAGCAACAGAACTTTGAGATGAGTAATAAATAAAGGAATCCACAGGGTTCTTACAGATGTTAAAAAGATTGAATAGGAGCAGATAAAGAGAATTGGGAAAATGTTTGCATTTCCATTCAGGTGGCAGACAAAAGAGAGAGGTAGAGAATAAGGGAGAGGAAGAGACAGATACTGGAGACCATGTGTATATAATTTAATTTTTGTGCAGAAAATGATGAAGAGCAGGATTTTTGTTGAATCTCATTTGTTACCTGGTAGAAGCCAGAATGAAAATCTTGAGTCTTCCACTCCTTCATAATCTAGCTTTTCCATGTTGTGGGTTAATTATGTTTGTAGAAAATATTTTACAGTAGAAGTAAGTACCCATGTATTTGGTGGTGCTCTATTACAGCCGTCTTCTGTGTATTCTCTAATGGATAATGTTGCATTAATAAATTTGAAAACCCACACAAATCTGACCTGCAACCCAAGTGCTCATCCTCCTGGGAAAGTGGAATGAAATATCAGATTCAGGATTCCTGCTTTAATTATCATTTCTCTTCCCATAGTTACTCAGCACTGTGGGGCTATTTCTGGAGTTTGCCTTCTTTTTCATACGTGTTTTCTGGGAATGCATCAGTAAGAGACATGGTCAAGATGATTATCTTGATCGTATTTTTACCTGTTGAATTTCATCCTGTTTCTTATAGGCATAACTTTACAGTCCGTGAAGAAACTTTGTTGTCTCCTTGCTATTAACAACACTATCCAGTCTGCAGCACGTACACATTTAGTCTGTATATCTGTCGATCGGTTCCTGAAGTCATCAGTAATGGCTAGAGTGAATCATGTGTCTGAGTCAAGACGTATAACCCATTGGCATTTAAAAAATCCTTACTAGCTTTATATTTTTGCATCGTTAAATGTAATTGTATCTTCACAATAAAGTGGCAGAAAAGAAAAAGTCTTCCTTTTGGATAACTTGATGAGGCTGTGGTCCTCAGAACATTTGTGGCGCTGGGCCCAGGAAGGTCAGTCATTATGGTTCAGGTAGATACCAGACCTCAGCATGACATTGAGCCCAGAGGAGGCAGGTTGTTACTTGTGTCCTTTTAGATTTGGCCACTCCTTTTTCCAGGGCATCGTCCAGACATTTCATGAAGTAAACATTTTGCTTGTAGGCAATGAAATCTCCAGAGCTAAAGGACCGCCTGGAAGAATCTGAGAAGCTAATCCAGGAAATGACTGTGACCTGGGAGGAGAAACTAAGGAAAACGGAGGAGATTGCACAGGTTCGTGTTTCCTGACTGGTGAAGCACATGAAACCTCACAGCAGTTTTTGCGGTGGGACACATGGTGTTTCTGGTTCCTTTCTGATCTTCAGCTTGGCTGATGGCAAATCTTACACTATCATTAGGAATCTAGAGCTAAGAGAATCTGTACTTTGCAAAATTAATTTGAAGGATAAACAGGATATAATTCCACTTGATTGTTTATTTTTTAGTGTCAGTAATTGTTTTAAAAAATTAAATGAAATAACTTCTTTGTAGCCTCTGGCTCTTAACACCCCATTCTGTTAAGTGCTTTGGAGACCTAAGGAACTTCCTGAAATTACAGAATTACTCAATCTAGTGCATGTGGCCAAGAAAAAAAAATACTGATAATAGGTATTACGCCATGAACTTCTTGGTTTCATGTGAAAACTCAGTGAAAAAGACATGAAATTCCTAAATCTGAGATGACCGTCTGTCACGGTTTTCTAGGAACAGAGATAGTTACAACATTTTAGGGTAGTGGCCAGGCACGGTGGCTCACGCCTGTAATTCCAGTACTTTGGAAGGCCAAGACGGGTGGATCACCTGAGGTCAGGAGTTCCAGACCAGCCTGGCCAACATGGAGAAACATCATCTCTACTTAAATAAAAAAAAAGAGGCGGGGCGCGGTGGCTCACGCCTGTAATCCCAGCACTTTGGGAGGCCGAGACAGGTGGATCACGAGGTCAAGAGATCGAGACCATCCTGGTCAACATGGTGAAACTCCATCTCTACTAAAAATACAAAAAATTAGCTGGGCACAGTGGCACGTGGCTGTAATCCCAGCTACTCAGGCGGCTGAGGCAGAAGAATTGCCTGAACCCAGGAGGCGGAGGTTGCAGTGAGCCGAGATCGCGCCATTGCACTCCAGCCTGGGTAACAGGAGCAAAACTCTGTCTCAAAAAAAAAGAGCTGGGTATGGTGGTACACACCTGTAGTCCCAGCTACTTGGGAGGCTGAGGCAGGTTGGATCACTTGAACCCAGGAGGCAGAGGTTGCAGTGAGCTGAGATGGCACCACTGTACTCCACCCTAGGCAACAGAGCAAGACTTCATTAAAAATAAAAAAAATTAAAAAACCAGAAATCTTAAGGTGGGCACATTAGTGTCAGTCTAGGAAGATCTAGTTCAGCATTGGGAGAAAAAGTCTATCTACCTAATACTAGATTTACACTGTGGCTTTCCTATTTCATGATTATACAACTTCTATTTTAGAAATATATATGGTAATGTGAAGCTCAGGACTCCATCTAACAGGCTCTTGGTGAACAATAGTAGCGATTGAATCAGTCTTGTTTTCTTTGATTTCTACTCTCTGGCCCTAGTTTGTTCTTCTGTAGCGAAGGGAGTAAGTGTCCTACCCATACACAGTAACTGCTGATGACAGTAACGCCATCATTTATTGGATACACTTATGTATTGAGCCCTGTGCTAAGCACTTTTTGCTACTGTACTGTATGTAATCCTCTCAGAAGTCTTACCAGGTAGGGACTATTACCCAAGTTGTTCATCTGTTATGTGTAGTTTTAGTCGCTAATGAGTTTGTAAGGCTCTCAAGAAAAAGACTATCTTTTAGTGTTGTATGCTCAATCATATTTTTGCATAAACAGAACTCAAGATGAGTATTGTCTAATTCCAGTGCCATATCTACTATACCACATTGTCCCTTATTTTTATCTTTTATATTCTTATTAAAAGATATGCACTTAAGTCAAATCAAAACCTTGAGCTAGATCAGGGGTTGACAAACAATACATGTGAATGAAACCTGCTCCACCACTTGCTTTGGTAAAAGTTTTTTGGAGTACAGCTGTGCTCATGTATCACATACGGTTTCAACAGTAGGAATAAGACAGAGACCTCATGGCCGTGAAGACTGAATATTTACTATCTGACGTGTTACAGGAAAAGTTAACCAACCTCTGAAGTCAGAAGGACTATTTGATAATATTAGTAAACTGTATTTTGAGCCTGATTCCTAGATATTGCAAACATTTGTTATTTTTTTTAGCTGATGGAAAACTTTAAAGTTTTTGGTGGCAAATGCAATAATGAATTGACAGTTTTCCACCATTATGCCCTTTTCGGCTTAGACAAATAATTTTGTACTGTTTTTACTATTATAAAATCTCAAATGGCAGCAACGTGCACAGGGAGGTAGCGTAAAACAGTAATAACTAGTAACAGCAACTTAGAGAAAAGTGTAGTTACTTTCTTCATTTTACGGACATGACTCTAGCCAGGAGAATCACTTCTTGGAATTGAGTGCAGAAAACTCTGATGGTTGCTGTTAACTTCTGAAGGAACCCTGTAGTTCTTTTTGTTAGAACTTGATTTGAAGACCCAAGACCAAAATAGACACCTTTCAATTTTGTAGTAATGTATTTCTAGGCAGGATATGTTGGCTGAGTTGCAGCGATTATGTAAATTATGATGGCATGCCTAGAAATAGCAAATTGTGAAGCTTGATTTTAATTACGCTGCAAACTTACTGTGCGGCCCTAGCTAAATGACTTGGTTTGTCTTGTCTTCCCCCAATATCAGAGGTCTTGGGTAACTGATTCATTGCTACTTGCTATTTACCCATAGTTGAAGATACCCTCTCCACTCCTGACTACCGTCATACAGAGCATCTGGATGTGAGATCCACGCCTATCCCCTTATCACGTACAGATGTTTGTATATTGTACAGGTTCAGAGACAGGCACAAAAAAAGGAAAGGGGTTTTCCTTGAGTGCATATGCAAGTTTGTTGGTTTTTGGATGAATTCACCACACTGATGTTTTGTGTGCTTGCCGTGTATCCTTCTCTGTGCTAAGTGCTGGGACCACAACAGTACATAAGATAGGATCTGTGCCCACACAGCACGCGGTCCCGTGTGAGAAAAATGGCCCAGTAAACAGTTACCACATAGAACACGTCTACTCCAGGTAGAAGAAAGAGTTACAAAATCACTGCAGCTAAAGAGGGCACAGAGAACGTTTTTTGAGACAGTCTCACTCTGTCACCCAAGCTAGAGTGCAGTGGCATGGTCTCGGCTCACTGCAGCCTCCATCTCCCGGCTTCAAGTGATTCTCCTGCCTCCCCTTCCCAAGTAACTGGGATTACAGGTGCCCGTCACCACACCTGGCTAATTTTTGTATATTTAGTAGATACGGGGTTTCACCACATTGGCCAGGCTGGCTTGAACTCCCGACCTAAAGTGATCTGCCCGCCTTGGCCTCCCACAGTGTTGGGATTATAGACGTGAGCCATCGCCCCCAGGCTAGAGAACATTCTTAGCACTTTCAAGGACATGGAGCTTGTTTCATGCAGTGCCGGGTTTGACAGGAGTGAGAAGACATGAAGCCAGAGAGGAAACAAGATTGGGGGCTTTGTGAACATCATTGAGGGAGTTTGGCCTTTATCCTGGCCAGGAGGTCGCTGAAGATGTCAAGCAGGAGAGTGTATTGATCCTTCCTGGCGTTAAAGAGGGATCCCAGCTGAAGAAAGTGCACACACCTTTGCTCATATATACAGAGTGAGATGAATTAAAGGTGTTAGGTGTTTTCAAGAGTGAAAACAAACTTCATCAGTACAGTAGTTACTATATGTAATGGACTTCATTTTTCAAAATAGAATTAACGAAATAAAAATTAGATAGTTTGGAAAGAAGGGAAAAATGCAATAAATCTATAATGCCATGGCCTAAGAGAATGTATTTGAATTACAAGGCTGTTGAATTATCGTAACATTGTAATGTAAGCGCTTAGGTATCCTACTGCCTCAGTAGCTGTGGAATTAATGCTTCTCTGATACATTTACAGGAACGACAGAAGCAGCTTGAGAGTCTTGGAATATCTCTTCAGTCTTCGGGCATCAAAGTCGGGGATGATAAATGCTTCCTTGTTAATCTGAATGCTGACCCAGCTCTGAATGAGCTTCTGGTGTACTATTTAAAGGTGAAGTAATGTGCTGTGCTCCTGGTTTCTTGCTCTGAAATAGGATAATAGTTCACAGTACTTTAGTAAACTTGGGGAACCATGCATACTCAAAAAACAGAGTTAGCAAATTGTTTTTATTTGAATAAGCTGGAGTCAGGGAACCATCTTGGGTTTCTGGGCTCAGTTTCCTTTTTTAGTCTTTCGTGTAGTTCAACTTGACAATATAAAAAAAGATACTCTGATATGATTTCCAACAAGTTAAATAGCTTTCCTACCATTATTTAAGAAGACTTGTATCAGGGAATGAAGTAGCTAACTTTACAAATAGATGACTTGAAAGGCTAGATGATTCATTTCGTAAGTACACTAAAGCCTTTGTGGTTATATGAAGCACTTTGTTTTGTGAGCAGTTTGTTAGCTCACGAGAAATGTATAAAGTTCTTAGGACCAGTTGGTATGAAATTTATGTTTCCAGTAACTCTTAGGAAAATTTAAAAATTTAGGTTGTCAATCTATTTTTAAAAAGTATAGGTTACTTAGAGACTGAGCGAGTCAGAGCATGGAACAGAGAAAAGGAGAAATACTGGTATCTACTGAAATCTGTAAATCGTGGGACATGTTAGGAAGATAAGAGACAACTTCAGAATAAGCCTGAAGCCTGAGACACTCCACAGATTCGAGGAGTGTCCAGAATGGGTTGTGTCAAGCCCAGAGCACAAATTACTTGTTAGATATGATGGACTGCACCACTCTGACACAGGGTTGATAATGGTTAGGACTCAATTTCTTTCCCTCACATATGTGGGTTCAGTGAATGTGACCAGAAAAGTAAAGCTAACAAGCTGACCTTGTGGGAAACAGCTCCAAGAGAATTCTGTGGTTTCATTTCAGAAAAGCCTGGAGAGGTCCTGGGGTACTGGCTTTGTGTCATTTTGAGAAGGCCCGTTGTTACTAAGTATCTTACGCAGCGTGTTGATGTGCTGTGAGTGAGGCTGTGTCTTTGATGCACACCTTCCTGTGTGCGTCTCTCAGGTGCTGTGTTTCAGTGGCAGCAAAGCTGGGGTGGGAGGGAGTGGCCTGTCTCTCTAGTCCGTGGCTAAGCCCTTTGCTCCCTGTAATATAGTTCCTTTGTAAATGGAGGCAAGTGTCTCAGGCTGGTTTGCCAGGTTTCTTTGAGGGTTGGAGTTACAGAAGCACTTCATAAACAGAAGCACTATACAAAAAAAAAAAAAAACCTCCACATTCCACTTTCTTGTTTGATACTCTGTATGGTTTATTATACACATACTGTCTTTGCCTATTAAAAAATGGTGTATTATCAGCTGGGCACGGTGGCTCATACCTATAATCCCAGCACTTTGGAAGGCTCCGGTGGGTAGATCACTTGAGAGCAGGAGTTCGAGACCAGCCTGGGCAACATGATGAAACAAACTCTTTCTCTACTAAAAACATAAAAATTAGCCAGGGGTGGTGGTACACGTCTTGGGTTCAAGACAAATCACTTGAACCCAAGAGGTGGAGGTTGCAGTGAGCTGAGATCATGCCACAGCACTCCAGCCTGGGTGATAGAGCCAGACTCTGTCTCAAAGGAAAAAAAAAAAAAGGTTGTACTGTCACATTACTTACTTTGCTTCTGAACAGTGCTGGCAGCATTTTGAGTTAGGATATTCATATGAGTGTGACCAGGACAGTAAAGCTAATGAGCTGACTACGTGGGAGGACATGCAGTGTTAGAATAGGACCTGAGTATTCTGTCCTTTTCATTTCTCAGAACTAGAAATTATTTTCCTTTCCATTGTAACATAGTTTAAATTGGGACACACAAACATACACGTCAAGAAAAAACTCTGATTCATATCTGCTCCTTGACTAAGAACTTAAAGAAGCTGTTTAAAGATGTGTGAAGAGTCATCAAATGTTTCTGGTCATCTTGCATGGAGGTGTTTGGGTTCTGTTCTGGGCTGTGTGGCCAGCCCTGTTTGGCAGAGTCTGAGGCAGTGTTGATTTCTTGACTGACCAAGCTAACCCCAAACCAAGCATATCTTCAACACAAAGCACATTTAAAAGGATGATCTCAGCCCAAAGACAGTTTTTGCTTCAGTAAAGTGATACCACGATGTGGGATGGTAGAATTTGGAGGCTGAGCATTTTTTTTCTTTGCCTTAAAATTCAAAAGTCAATTTAAATGCTGGGCAGATGACTTCACATCTCTGGATGACTTAAGCCACTCCATGTGGAAGTGAAGACATTGGATTAAAATCTCTCTGAAGTTTTTCTAGTTCCAGTCGTACAGTTCTCTTACTCTTCTAGAATACACACCCCCTTTCTTTATCCTGGAATACTTTATAGTAGCACACTTTAGAACCATTATACCCATCTATCAGTAAAGAGACTGAGATGCTGGCCCTTATTAATTTTATCTTACTTTGATTACCTGGGCACACAAAGGGAAATGATTGTGCATTTATTTTTATTTTATATTTATTTAATGCCTGCCTATGCCAGTCATTGGTTAAGTGCTTGGAATACAAGATGGACAGTCAACCCACAGTCAGTCAGTGACATGGAAGGAATTAAAAGAGGGCAGGACGACAGTGGCTTTTTCTAATTGTGAACTCAGGAAACAGCTCCCTGAGGATGTGATATTAAAAGCTGAGATAGAAATGATAAGAAATGACCTATATCAGGATCAGGGAAAGAACGTTTCAGACAGAGGAAACAGCTAGTAAAAGGCATTAGGATGGAAATAGGTTCAGTGTGCTCCAAGAACAGACAGAAGGCCCATGTGGCTGGCCCGTGCTCTGTGAGGGGGAGATGGTGGGAGAGAGGGTCAGGCAGAGATAGGCAGGGGCAGGTTGTAGAATGCTTCGTAAGCCTGGGTGAGAATTTGGGCTTTATTGGAAGTTCAAAGAGAAGCCACTAGAAGGTTTTAGTCTTATTTATTCTTATTTTATTTTTTTGAGGCACAGTCTCTCTCTATCACCCAGGTGATAGTGGCACGATCATAGTTTAGTGCAGCCTCAGTCTCCTGGATTGAAGTGATTTTTCTGCCTCATTAAAAAAAAATTTTTTTTTTGAGATGGAATCTTGCTCTGTCGCCCAGGCTGGAGTGCCAGTGGCATGATCTCTGCTCACTGCAATCTCTGCCTCACAGGTTCAAGCACTTCTCCTACCTCAGCATCCGAAGTAGCTGGGATTATAGGTGTGCACCACCACGCCTGGCTAATTTTTTTGTATTTTTAGTAGATACAGGGTTTCACTGTGTTGGCCGGGCTGGTCTCAAACTCCCGACCTCAAGTGATCTGCCCACCTCAGCCTTCCAAAGTGCCGGGATTACAGGCATGAGCCACTGTGCCCAGCCTCAATTTTTTTTTTTTCAGTAGAGACAAGGACCAGCCCAGGCTGGTCTTGATCTCCTATGCTCAAGCAGTTCTCCTGCCTTGGATTCCCAAAGTGCTGGGATTACAGGTGTGAGCTACCAGGCCCCCATCTTAGAAGGTTTTAAATAGGAGATGACCTGACCAGCTGTTGTGGTGGGAGCGGAAGGGGGTGTCATGCAATGGAGACATAGTAGGAAGCTCTGTATCCACAGGCAAGAGATCCTGGAGGCTGAATCGAGGATGTGGTCATGGAGGTGGGGAAAACAAGCTGATTCTTGATAGACTTTGGAGGAAAAATCTGTAAGATTTTCTCTGATTGACATGGGGTGGGTATGGGCTTGTAAGGGAAAGAAAGAGGACTCAAGGATCATATCTAAGCCGTTCAGTTGACTGACTGGGGTGGTACCATTATTACTGGAGAAGGCAATTGACTTCTGTTGGGTTGGGGGAGATGGGAACAAGACGTTCGCTTTGGCCTTTGTTCCCTTTGACATATCTTCAGACATCCAGGTTGTGTCAAGTAGGCTGAGTAGGCAGAAAATCGTAGTGGCTAAGGCTGGGCACAGTGGCTCACACCTGTAATCTCAGTACTTTGGGAGGCTGAGGTGGAAGGACTGCTCGAGCTCAGGAGTTTGAGATCAATCTGAGCAACACAGTGAGACCCCCGTCTTTCTAAAAAATAAAAAAGATTAGTTGGTCCAGGTGGTGCCTGCCTGTGATCTCAGCTACTCCGAAGGCTGAGACGGGAAGATTGCTTGAGCCCAGGAGGGTGAGGTTGTAGTGAGATGGATAGTGTGTCTGCACTCCAGTCTGGGTGACAGAACAAGACCCCATCTGAAAAAAATTAAAATAGGGACGAAGACTGGGATACTGGTCGTGGAGGTGGGGAATAAAAATGGAGCTAGAGTATGTAGCTCCTGACTGTGATGGAGATGTAGTTTATCTGAAGATGGCATTTAAAGCCATGGGAGAGGGCGAGTTGGTCTAGGTCAGGGTCAACCATCTACTCTTCGCAGGCCAAATCTAGCTCTCTTCCTGCTTTTGTTTGAATCATGCCTGGCTCCATTTGCTTTTAAAAAATCTTTTAGGCCAGGTGTGGTGGCTCAGGCCTGTAATCCCAGCACTTTGGGAGGCTGAGGCAGGTGGATCACTTGAGGTCAGGAGTTCAAGACCAGTGTGGCCAACATGGTAAAACCCTGTCTCTACCAAAACTACAAAAAAATCAGCTGGGCATGGTGGTGCATGTCTGTAAATCTCAGCTACTTGGGGGTCTGAGGCAGGAGAATAGCTTGAACCCAGGAAGCTGAGGTTGCGATGATCCGAGATTGCACCACTGCCCTCCAGCCTGGGGGATAGAGCGAGATCCCGTCTCAAAAATAAAATAAGAATAAACATAAGTAGTAAGACAGTATAAGAGGGCTGAGTGTAAACGATTTCAGTTGCACAGTATTAATCATGAATTTGATCCTTTTTAGGAACATACACTGATAGGGTCAGCAAATTCCCAGGATATCCAGCTGTGCGGCATGGGGATTCTTCCTGAGCACTGTATCATCGACATCACGCCGGAAGGCCAGGTGATGCTGACTCCTCAGAAGAACACCAGGTAACATACTTGAATTAGTGTTCATATTACAGAGTTTTCAGAGGAAGAAAGTACTCTAGAGGCAACAGTGGCCTTTGTTTCTTTTAAGTCGATGTCATTAAGCTCTCCAGTTGGTGAGGCGGGCCCCGTACATATAACTTCAATGCCTCCCACACCCGCTTCTTCCTCTCGATAGGCACTGCCATGGCTTTATGTATTTAGGCCCTCATCAAGTCTTGATGAGAGCCCCTGCCAACACCCTGAGCTCCCTCCTGGTTCACTCACCACAGCCCTAGAAGGCTTTTGTCTGTCTGTGATGGAAAATCCCTTACAGCCCTTGGTTTATCTCCTCCTCCTCTGTACCTGCTAGTTCTTGGGCCTGCTGACTCCTGTTGTACCTGCAGGGTTAAGTGCTGCCATGATCCCCTGCGGGGAGGTCCCTGTTTGGTCTGTATGCAGTGTCCTTAGGAGATACAGACCATCCCCCTCTCATGGCAGTGCTTCTCAGTGTCTGCCTGTGGGTTGTGAACCCTTATTACCCTACTGGGCCGTGAGCTGCTTGAGGACAAGGGCCTTTCTTTTTTTGATCCTCCATTCCTGGTGTGTAATATGAGACTAGTACACAGGTAGTTACTACACCATGGAGGAATGAAGGGGCTCCACGTTTTATGAATTACACATTTGTCAGGTTTTTTTCCTTCAGCTGTAAAGCTGTTATCCCTTGTTACTGAGTTGGGAGTCTAACAGCCTCTAACGGTTAGACAGTGGTTAACTGAATTATGTTGATCTTTCAGATGTTGATTTGTTTCATTTTATGACATGAAAAAATCATTAATGCCACTGATTTTATTCATAAAGTCTTCAAGTGTTGAGAAGCTCTCAAGCTCTGGGGAAGGATCAAGTGAGAAAACAGGAGCAGAAGCTGGTATGGCACTCACAGCTGTGCTGTGCTTTTATGAGGCCATAAATAATCACAGAGAACCCCAGCCTCAGGCAAGGGTCCTCCAAGACCAGGATGCAGTAAGATAGAGCAGGCCACGCCGTCATTTCGTGTAAGCACAGACAAAAACATGGTGTCTGTGGCACCCTAAGAATACCCTCCTCTGAACCAGTATGAGTGACTGCTATTTCTCCACCAATTACAGCGTTATTCTGTTCTAGCTCCCTGCACCAATGGATACAATTTTGTGAAATACTCATTTATAGGATTACTCCCACTTTCTGACAGTACCCAGCATATGTGGAACCCTTGCCTCCTTAAATTGTCTCAGAAGTCATCCACCCAGAAGTCATCCACCCAAATCTTAAAACAGCTTCTGTCTTACACTGGCTCTCTGCCTCCCCTCCCCTCTTCGCCTCCACCCTCTTCTCCTCCCCGCCCCCCATTCTCTGCCCAACTTCCTCCCCTTCCCTTCTTTTCTCCCCTTCCCTTCCCTCCTTTTCTTCCATCTGTTCCATCCTTTCCTTCACCCTTCTTGACAGGGCCTTATTCTGTCACCCAGGCTGGAGTGCAGTGGTGTAGTTACAGCTCACTGCAGCCTCCAACTCCTGAGCTCAAGCAATCCTCCCATCTCATCCTCCTGAGTAGCTGGGACTACAGGTGCTTGATACCATGCCCAGCTAATTTTCTAAAAACTTTGTTTTGTAGATACAGGGTCTTGATATGTTGCTCAGGTTGGTCCTCAACTTCTGGGCTCAAGGGATCCTCCTTGACCTCACAAAGTGCTGGATTACAGGCGTAAACCACTGCGCCTGGCCAAGATCAATTACTTTTAGTGTTTAAAAACCTATATTATGAATGAAATCTAGATAGGAAAGAAGATTTTGCATGTATGCATACACATAAATCATGAATGCTATATTGCCAGGTAAATGTTCCATAGCTTTACAGAGTTTAAAGCAACTAAGACTTCCTGCCCAACTTCCTCCCCTTCCCTTCTTTTCTCCCCTTCCCTTCCCTCCTTTTCTTCCATCCTTTCCATCCTTTCCTTCACCCTTCTTGACAGGGCCTTATTCTGTCACCCAGGCTGGAGTGCAGTGGTGCAGTTTAAACTCTAAGTTTAAAGAAATTAAGATAGCTGGTGTGATTGGCATCTCTTACAGAGGAAGTAGAAATCCAGCTGGGCTTGGATTACTGAGTAAGATTAGGAGGGTAAGAGGAATGGGAACCTTACTCCAGGTTGTAGGACTGATAGGAGCCTGGATTTGGAGGAAGAGTTGATCATGTGTAGTATATAGGAAATAAGCCTTTTTTTTTTTTTTTGGCAGGAGTTAAGAGGCCTTCTTTGTGGGAGGAAGAGCCTTTAAAGTGAAAGAATTTCAGCCAGGCACAGTGGCTCATGCCTGTAATCCCAGCACTTTGGGAGGTTGAGGTGGGCGGATCACCTGAGGTCAGGAGTTTGAGACCAGCCTGACCAACATGGAAAAACCCCATCTCAACTAAAAATACAAAATTAGCTGGACCGGTCATGGTGGTGCATGATCCCAGCTACTCGGGCAGCTGAGGAATTGCTTGAACTTGGGAGGCGGAGGTTGCAGTGAGCCAAGATCACGCCATTGCACTCCAGCCTGGGCAACAAGAGCGAAACTCTGTCTGGAAAAAAAACAAACAAACAAACAGAATTTGTACTGGATAGCCTATATCTTAGTAAATGAGTCCTTCAGCAGGAGAGGGGCATGATGACACTGGTGTCCCAGGAATATCAGTGTTACCATGCTATGCATACTTGTCTATTTACTTCCTGCCCTTCCAGATTCTTCCCTTCATGGTATTTCCCCCACCACTTCTGTTGAATGCCATTATCAAGATAAGCAGCACAGTGGAACTGATCAGTCTTCCTTACGTTGACAGGACATGATCATTTTTCCCTGCTATAGAGCTTTAATATAGGTCTCATTTCTCATTACTCACATCAGTAGACCTTTCTGGTGGCTGGTTGAATGGTTCTTTTCCTTCATATAGATTGGACATACTTGTTTTTGTTGTATATTGCTACCATCCTTTCATTATTGGCTGTAATGGTTCCCTGTTTATTCCTTAATATACTATATAACAAATTTAGAACTTTTAAAAATGGAGGCGATTTATTGATCTCTAGTACTTCATACCATAAACATCTTAAGTAACTATATAGCACTTGGAACTTTGAAAAAGGGGATAATAATCTGATATACAGGCATACGTTGGAGACCTTGCAGGTTCAGTTCCAGACTTCCACAGTAAAGCAAATATCACAGTAAAGCAAGTCACACACATTTTTGGTTTCCCAGTGCATATAAAAGTTAGGTTTATACTATAGTCTACTAATTGTGCCGTAGCGTGTATCTTAAACAACATACATCCCTTAGTTAAAAAATACTTTACTCAAAATATACCAAAAAGTAAAGAGCATCAACATAATGAAGAATTTACATCAACGAATGGAGAAAACAGCCAGTTCACATCAAATGGCAGTAATCCTAAATTTAAATCAACTAAATCCCCCAATCAAAAGATACAGCCAAAACCCAACAGTATGCTACATCCAGACCCATTTCACATGTAAGGATACACAAAGACTCAAAGGGATGGAGAAAGATTTATCAACCAAATGGAGAGCAAAAATAAATAAATAAATAAAAAGCAGGAGTTGCAATTCTCACATCTGATAAAATAGATTTCAAAGCAACAAAGATATAGTGGTAAAAGGATCAATGCAACAATAAGAGCTAACGATCCTAACACCCAGATACCTAAGACCCATAAAGAGATTTAGACTCCCTAGACTCCCACACAATAATAGTGGGAGACTTCAACATCAATATTAGATAGATCAACGAGACAGAAAATTAATAAGGATATCCAGGACCTGAACTCAGATCTGGAACAAGTAAACTTAATAAACATTTATAGAGCTCTCCACTTTAAATACACAGAATATACACTCTTATTAGTACCACATCACACCTACTCATAGGTTTAAATGAAATATTGATCGGCCATCATTAAGCACAATTATTAGCATAAAAGAGGTTTTCAATACCCATTTTTAGAATAAAGCAACATTCCCGTTCTCTCTCCCTCTTTCTTCCTCTCCTTCACTCCTTTTTTTCTTTCCTTCTCTCTTTTCTTTTTTTTTCCAAGGAAAAAAAAGAGCAGAATCAGAGCAGGCTGATTCAACTAGAAAGCTGAGATTTTTTTCTCCCTATCCCCTGCTGTACCTCATTGGTGTTTCTATCCTTCAGGAACATACAGTCTACGCCAAGGCAAGGTAGGAGTTACGGGAAAAATCATATTCACATAAACCATCTTCTGATTTCTGTGTTCAGGCCCTTGTCTTTCTCCACCCACTCCCGCTCACTACCATCTTGTGTCGCCACTTGAGCATTCAATATTGCACATTTAGTAGGTGCTTGAGAAATATTGTCCATGTTCCTCACTATCTGCCTACATGGCTTTTGCCGGGGGGAGATTTTTCTTATTGTGGACAAGGCAGTCCCTACTCATTGTGCTGTATAATAGCAGCCTGGCAGCTAGAAAGCTCTTAGCCTCAAGATGGAACATACTACTTAACCGATAGCCCCATCCTCTGCCAAGCCTCACCCAGCTTGGAGCTGTGAGCCCAGAGAAACAGACTGAACTCCAGAGATAGCAAGACACTCAGCTCCAGGGCACAAGTAAGACAGACTATACTTTTAAAGTTTTTCTTTGACTTTTCTATAAAATCTGATTAAAGTATTATTATGTTTTTTTTAATCTTTGACATTTTCTTTTTTGCCATTTGACAAAAAAAAAAAAAATACTTTGCAGCTGGGTACAGTGGCTCATGCCTGTAATCCTAGCACTTCGAGAGGCTGAGGTGGGCAGATCACTTGAGGTCAGGAGTTTGTGACTGGCCTGGCCAACATGGCAAGACCCTGTCTCTGTGAGCCATTAGAGACACATGTGGTGGCACGTGCCTGTAATCCCAGCTACTCAGGAGGTTGAGGCAGGAGAATCGCCTGAACCTGGGAGGTGGAGGTTTCAGTGAACTGACATTGCACCACTGCAGTCTAGCCTGAGCTGCAGAGCAAGACTCTGTCTTTTTATAAGTTAAAAAAAGACTCTTGCTAAAATATGACTGGAGCCCAGGTGGTAGCCTCTTTGCTGCAGGAAGGTCTTGCTTCCCTGTTGGTGGCTGCTCACCGATCAACGTGGTGGTTGCTGAAGGTTAGGGTGGCCGTGGCAATTTCTTAAAATAAGACAGCAGTGAAGTTTGCCACCTTGATTGACTTTTTCTTTCAAGAAAGGTTTCTCTGTAGCATGTGTTACTGGCTGGTAGCATTTTACCCGTGGTAGAACTTCTTTTCAGAATTGAGGTCAGTCTTCTTCAACCCTGACACTGCTTTATCAACTAAGTTTCTGGAAAATTCTAAACCCTCTGTCATCATTTCAGCAATGTTCACAGCATCTTTACCAGGAGTAGATTCCATCTCAAGAAACCACTTTCTTTGCTCATTCATAAGGATCAACTTACCCACTAATGTTTTATCTTGAGATCACAGCAGTTCAGCCACGTCTTCAGGCTCCACTTCTTACTCTAGTCCTCTTGCTGTTTCCACCACACCTGCAGTTCCTTCCTCCCCTGAGGTCTGGAACCCTTCAAAGGCATCCGTGAGGGTTGGACTCCTTCCACATTCCTGTTAATATTCATATTGTTCCTTCCTCCTATGAATCACAAATGTTCTTTTTTTGGAGATGGAGTCTCACTCTCTCACCCAGGCTGGAGTGCAGGGGCGTGATCTTGGCTCACTGCAACCTCCACCTCCTGGGTTCAAGTGATTGTCCTGTCTTAGCCTCCCAAGTAGCTGGAACTACAGGTGAGTGCCACCATACCCGGCTAATTTTTTGTATTTTTAGTAGAGATAGGATTTCACCATATTGGTCAGACTGGTCTTGAACTCATGATCTCATGATCTACACACCTTGGCCTCCCAAAGTGCTGGGATTACAGGCATGAGCCACCACGCCCAGCCTCACAAATGTTCTTAATGGCATCTTAGAATGGTGAATCCTTTCCAGAAGTTTTTTAACTTACTTTGCCAAGATCCATTAGAGGCATCACTGTCTATAGCAGCTATAGCCTTATGAAATATATTGTTTGGGGGGGAAGGGGGGAGGGATAGCCTGGGGAGAAATGCCAAATGTGGGTGAAGAGGAAGATGGCAGCAAAACATACTGCCATGTGTGTACCTATGCAACTATCTTGCGTGATCTGCACATGTACCCCAAAACCTAAAATGCAATTTAAAAAAAAAAAAAAGAAATGTATTGTTTAAATGATAAGACTTGAAAGTCAAAATTACTTCCTGATCCATGGCCCGCAGAGTGGATATTGTGTTAACAGGCATGAAAGCAACATTGATATCCTTGAACATCTCCATCAGAGCCCTTGGGTTGATCAGGTGCATTATCAATGAGCAGTAATGTGTTGAAAGGAATCTTCTGAGCATTAGGTCTCAACAGTGGGCTTAAAATATTCAGCAAACTATGGTGTAAACAGACATGCTGTCATCCAGGCTTTATTCCATTTGTAGAGCACAGGCAGAGATGACTTAGCATAATTCTTAAGGGCCCTAGGATTTATAGAATGGTCAATAAGTGTTGGCATCAACTTTAAGTCACCAGCCTCATTAGCCTCTAAGAGAGTCAGCCTGCCATTGAAGCTTTGAAGCCAGGCATTGACTTCTCTTCCCTAGCTGATAAAGTTCTAGATGGCATCTTCTTCCGGTGGAAGTCTGTTTCATCTACTTTGAAAATCTCATCAGTGATCTTGCTGCAGCTTCTACATCAGCACTTGCCGCTTCACCTTGTACTTATATGTTATGGAGATAGTTTCTTGCCTGAAACCTCAAGAACCAACCTCTGCTAGCTTTCAGCTTTTCTTCTGTTGCTTCTTGTCTCTCTAAGTTCATAGAATTAAAGAGTTAGGACCTCACTCCGGATGCGGGTTAGGTTGAGGGCATATTGTGGCTGGATTGATTGTCTGTCCAGACCACTGAACTTTCTCGGTATCAGCAGGAAGGCTGTTCTGCCTTACCATTCATGTATTCACTGGAGAAGCACCTTTAATTTCCTTCAAGAACTTTTCATGTACACTCACAACTTGCCCAACTGTTGGTACAAGAGGCCTGGCTTTTGTCCTTTCTTGGTTTTTGAGGTGATTCCTCACTAAACCTAATCATTTCCACCTTTTGAGAGATGTGTGACTCTTCCTTTTACTTAAACAGTTAGAGTGTATTGTAGTTGTTAATTAGCCTAACTCAATATTGTTGTGTCTCAGGGAATAAAGAGACCCGAGGAGAGGGGGAGAGTCCAGACCCATACTACATTTATTAAGTTTACCATCTTCCATGGGTATAGTTCACAATGTCCCAGAACAGTTAGAGAGGTGCTGTCAAAGGTCCCAAATCACAGATCTTCATGACATACATGAAGTGAACACGTGCTGTCGGAAAAGTGTCTCCCATAGCCTTGCTCAGCATAGGACGGCCGCAAACGTTCAATTTGTAAAAAATACAGTATCTGCAACGCACAGTAAAATGAAATGTGCCTGTGCTTTGCACCATAAACATTTTAGGGAAGTCAGCAAAGGCGTAAGTGCAAATACTAAAATTCACCAAGCACGGGTTGTATTGGGGGGAGTGATTGTTTTCCCTAGGCACTGCATCTCTGTGTTACTGGAAAATTAAAGCAGAAGACGTGATACTGTACTCATCATTCACGTTTGGTCTCTTCTCCTTACAGAACCTTTGTAAATGGGTCGTCTGTCTCCAGTGCAATACAGCTACACCATGGGGACCGGATATTATGGGGAAACAACCATTTCTTCAGGTATGACGTCATTCATGTCCCTAAAAGAAGGAGATTTTTGGAGATTGTGCTCTGAAATAGAAAATACGTATTAAAAGTAAACCCAACTCTACAGTTGTGTTACTGTGTGTGTGTGTATGTATTTGCTGCATGTGTATCATATATGTGTGTATGTTCGTTCACTGTATATGGCCTGAACCCTAGGATCATATGAACAATATACTTTGCAAAAATGCTGAGTTTACCTACATCGTTTTTCCCTTTTGTTTCCCAGTGGAAGATGATTGTTTTGCCATGTAGTGTAAGAATTTATTAATGTTTTTCTGACATGTTTATCTTTTTGTTTATTTTTTACTGAAAAGTAGTTGTGGTTTTTGTTTCCTTATCTATCAAATAAGGTTGGTATTTCTTTCAGGAATTCTTTACAGAGAAAGTCATGGCAAATTTTACTGTAATGGGTTAGACAGATCATTTGTTTCCCTGACAGAACTGGAAATCTGAAGGAACATGGTTGTTAGTGTTGGCTAAGCCTCAAAAAAAGTCATGGCTAGAGTCTGGTCAGTCTTGGCAGAGGCCACGCTACACTGCTGGCAAAGCTGCATTCAGGTACAGGAAGAAAAAGGAGAACCATGGCCGCACTAGCCCTGACTGCCTTCTTCGTTCGTAAAAGCAGAAGCCTTCCCAGAGTCCCCAGCAATCTTCTCCTTCTGTCTCCTTTGCTAGAATTAGGGGGCTGAGAAAGACTGTCTAACCCCGGGCTGTACATACGGTTTCCCAAACAAAACTGATGTTGCATTGGCAAGGCAGGCGGGCTGGATACTATATAAAGGTCACATCCTGGTCTCTTCTTACTGTCACTGGTCAGTGTGCTCCAGATGTCAGACTGACTTTTCTGTAGCTAATAGAGATCCTTTGCCGTGGGCCAGGGATATTTTGGTTACTGAGAAAAGGGTAGATAGGCACAAAGAGCATTGAGCATTTTTTTCCTTCCCAAATTAAGTGATGTGTAAACTGCTTTGCTTTGTGTTCAAAACCCTCATCGTTTGCATTAAGTTGACCTTTCCAGCTTTATCTCTAGTGTGCTATACAAAGTTTGTGTGTCCCCTTGTTTTACTCATTTCTCCAGGGAATATGAACATTTCCGTTTTCATGTCTTTTCCCACGCTGTTCCCTCTACCCTGCTTTCTCCTTATTTGTGAATACTCCGTTCAACTGATTTTCTCCTGTCTCACCTTCCTTCATCACCTCGCTCTGAAAGTGTCCTCGGCTTTTCTTTAACTCTGAACTTGTCACAGGCATGTGGCCTAGTGTCACACTTTCTGCTGTACGTTTTTGCTGGCACATGAATGTCTTAGTTCTTTGACTAAATTATCCACTTCCTGGGTGCAGTAATTGCCTTGTACTTACATGGTATCCTCTTGGCTTCTAGCAGATGCCAGTACTTAACGAATGAAATGAGTAAGTGCCTATCTTAACTTCAGAAAACAATCCTCTTTCCCCCTCTAAGACTCAATTTACCTAAAAAGAAAAAGAAAGCAGAACGAGAGGACGAGGACCAAGACCCCTCCATGAAAAACGATAACAGTTCTGAGCAGCTGGATGTAGACGGAGACTCCTCCAGCGAAGTGTCCAGTGAAATTAACTTCAATTACGAATACGCACAGATGGAGGTCACTATGAAGGCCCTGGGCAGCAATGGTGAGCAAGTCGGGTGTGTGCCTGAGAGTCAGTTCGAGGTTCAAGATCTTCAAGTGGGAAGATCACTTGAGCCCAGGAGTTCCAGGCTGCAGTGAGCCGAGATTGTGTGTGAATAACCGACTGCTCTTCAGCCTGGGCAACATAGCAAGACCTTCTCTCTTTAAAAAAAAAAAGAAAAAAAAGAGATGGTAAAGTGTTAAAAATGTTTACGATTGAGACATTTTAAATGTTAACAAAAAGGAAAATCTTTATGTGGCTTCTTTGTATTATTTTGTGTCTTTGGCTTTAATTTATACTTAACAAAATGTTCTGCCTTAATATACAGTCAGATCACTTTGTTCTCATGGACAGAATCTCTCTGGTTTATTTTATTTTATTTTGATTTTTTGAGACAGTCTCGCCCTGTTGCCCAGGCTACAGTGCAGTGTCACGATCTTGGCGCCCTGCAACCTCCACCTCCCAGGTTACAGTGACTTGATTCTCCTGCGTCAGCCTCCTGTGTAGCTGGGATGACAAGCGTGCATGCCACCATTCCTGGCTAACTTTTGTATTTTCAGTAGAGACGGGGTTTCGCCATGTTGGCAAGGCTAGTCCAAACTCCTGATGTCAGGTGATCTGCCCACCTTGGCGTCCCAAAATGCTGGGATAACAGGCATGAGCCACTGCGCCTGGCCAAATCTCTCTGCTTTAGAAACTTGCCTGCCACTGGCTTATGATTATAGTTATGGAGGATCTACCATGTCTTAGGTTATGTGTAGAACATAAGATAGACCTGCTTTTTTTTACAGAGAAGATGGTTGAGGATATGTCTAACTGAGAATAGAGAACAACATAAGTGATTGGCAGTAAGGAAAGCTGTTTATGCCAAATTATCTTTAATGGTATTAGTTACAGGGTATAGTTAAGATGACGAACAACATTACATAGAACAACATTTGAAGTTTATTATTTGTACCTTTCGATCATTATTTATGCTTTTAAAAATGTGTTTAGATCCAATGCAGTCCATATTAAACAGCCTAGAACAACAGCATGAAGAAGAAAAACGATCCGCACTGGAGCGCCAGAGGCTTATGTACGAGCACGAATTGGAGCAGCTCCGGAGAAGACTGTCTCCCGAGAAGCAGAACTCTCGGAGCATGGACAGGTTTTCTTTCCACTCTCCCAGCGCTCAGCAGCGCCTGAGACAGTGGGCCGAAGAGAGGTAGGCGGCACAGAGGGGCTTCTTCCATGTGTAGCTCAGGCTCACCGCCACTAACGCACCTAGGGAAAGTGTCGAGCGGGAACATTGAGACAGTGCTTAGGAAAGAATTATATTAAAAGGTAAGTGTTACAGCCAAGAACCACTTTGCATTTTTTCTTTTTTTTGAAAAATAGGGTAATTGCCCATATATATTGGGCTTTATTTAAAACTGTTGATGTTAGGTGCTGTTCCACCTTCAGTTTGTCTAGCCTTTGGATTTGGATAAAGAAGTAGACATCACCATTGCATTATGCTTTGCGTTCTGAAGCTTGGGTAAATGATTTTTAGAAAAACAGAAAGTTGGTTATCTGAACTGATTAGCTCAGGTAGGTAAAGCATGGTGCCCATGAGAGGAAGATTGCAAGCTTGATCTCTGTAGGGGCTAATCGGCATTGCATTGAAATGCCTTATCCCATGATCGCAGACCTCATACTATTTAAAGTTTGGTCAGCAGGCACCTTCCCTTTCACCTGGAGATTGATAGAAATGTAGGATTTCAGGCCCCCACCTCAGACCTGCCCAGACAAAATCTTGAGTTGAAGATCCCCTGGTGATTCGCATGCACGGGCAGGTTTGTGGGGCACTGCCCTTATCTAGAGCCAGCTTGCTGTGTGGCTGCGTGCCAGTGCTTATCGTGTAGTGAGATTCAAGCGTGTGCATGGGTCAGTGTCAGTAACACAGTCGCTGAGTGCGGACCACCATGGGAAGTCTTGGTCCACGCTTTGGCATCGATGCACTACTGCTATATGATTCTCTGACGAGCTGCTTTGTGTTATCTCTTCCCTACCTCCAACCCCTCTTTATTTTTTTTAAGAGAAGCAACGTTGAGTAACAGCCTGATGAGGCTGAGGGAACAAATTGTTAAGGCCAATCTGTTGGTGAGAGAAGCTAATTACATTGCTGAGGAGCTGGATAAAAGGACAGAATACAAAGTTACCCTACAGATTCCAGCCTCCAGCCTGGATGCCAACAGGAAGGTGAGGTTGCCATTCCTTGAAAAAAACTAAGATCTCATTGGATGAGATTGCTTGATGTTTCCTGGTGTTACTGAAGCTTCAGATCCCTGTCTATACCCACCCCAAGTCTAGATCCTTGGTCCTCCTTGCTTTTGAGTAGAATTGACTTCCTCTTCATTCTCTGCCTTTGAGTGTATGGGGAATATACTCTCCGTCTCACGTGGCCCTGAAAGTTCAGTTCACTCAGCTTGCTTTCTTCAAGTCTGTTTCAAGTCTTTCTTAGGAGTCTTTACTAATTAATCTTTTTTTCCTTCCTTATGTTACCATTCACTTCCCCCCCAAGTTAGGTGTTCATTTTGCTTATGTTATTTTCTCCTTCAAATAGCTTGCTCTGTAAAACTCTTTATTAGTTGTGTCATGTATATATTCAGGATCACACTTTTTTGATATAAGTTTAATAAAATGTAGGGGAAAAGTCCCATCGCAGTCTTCTATCTTTGCCGTTCAGTTTTTTTTTTTCTTCTTTTTTTGAGGTTCTTTCCTAGCTCTTGATTATGTTCGTACATGATGTTTGATGGATTAGGTAGAATTTTCTATTCAGACAAATTTCTTGTGGGTCCATGTGTTCTCTTTGTCCTACAGTAGTCCACACAGCAAAGCTTTAATCAATTCATCTTGGATATTCTATTATTTTTTTATTTTTTGAAGATGGAGTCTTGCTCTGTCACCCAGACTGGAATGCAGTGGTGTGATCTTGACTCACTGCAACCTCTGCCTCCTGGGTTCAAGTGCTTCTTCTGCCTCAGCCTCCTGAGTATCTGGGATTGCAGGTGTGCGCCAACATACCCAGCTAAATTTTGTATTTTTAGTAGAGATGTATTTTTAGTATTTTTGCCATGTTGGCCACGCTGGTCTCAAACTCCTGACTTCAAGTGATCCACCTGCCTTGGCCTTCCAAAGTGCTGGGATTACAGGTGGATATTCTAATTTGATAGCAAGGATTACATCTTTCTTTCCCTATGACATCATAGCATTGAGGTCAGTGTTTTGTACTGAGTAGATATTTGGCAAATATGATTCTTAGTATTTTGAGAAAGGTATTACAAATATGATATGATCATTACTTTATAGATCATTGTTTTTGTATACTCTGTGTGTATTTTGAAAGTTTGTACTTTATTAGAACTTAATAGTATTTGTAGGGCAAAGTCTAGATACAGTAGGACTCATCAAAAACAGAAGAGGAAGCCAGTCACAAGCAGAAGGTTCAGGACCTGGTTTCTTCTTGAAGGCGAAGTTCAAGGTCACGTTTCATTCTGTGGTGTACGAGTTGAAAAAAGCAGAAACCTGAACATTTTTTCCCCATTAAGCATGACTGCAGCCCTTTTCTCCGTAACCTGTTTTGGGCTTTGTTGAAAGGTATGGTTCTGCGTTGGGGTAGCTATGTCAACAACCACAAGTAACTCATGTCACTTGCCATCTCTCTCCTGCCCTCCATCCAGTGCTGCATTCACTGGGGCCATGTCTTTTGCTGGTAGAGATGACTCCATTGCTGGAGTGAAGCCATTTTTAACAGACAGCTACTAATTCTCTGTTAGTATTGATTTAAATAAATTGGTATTTTTAGATGTCAGCCAGAGAGAGGAGCTGGATAAGGAGGCATTTCCTAGGAGATAGTCTCCTTCATTAGGCTGAGTCTGCAGTCTTTAATGCAACAAAGACTATTTTTTGGTATTTGAAAACTGTTATGTATTTATATGTCCTTTCCATTCTGTGAGCACTCTCTCTGGTGATTATTTTTTTCTTCCTTCTAATTTTGCAAGAGAGCCAAGTTATGGTAGCTGCATCATAATGCCCGTTGCTGTTTAGTCCCAGGTCCAGCATTCTCCCCCAGAAAAGCCACTACCCGCACAGGTCACAAATAGGAGTTTTGTGTTTATTCACTGGCTGGCTGAATATAAGGTAGGGGGGCCCTTAATTTTGACTATAACATGGCCAGGCTGGTGGCTCACGCCTGTAATCCCAGCACCTTGGGAGGCCACGGTGGGTGGATCACTTGTGGTCAGGAGTTTGAGACCAGCCTAGCCAACATGATGAAACCCTGTGTCTACTAAAAATATAAAGATTAGCCAGGCACGATGGTGGGTGCCTGTAATCCCAGCTGCTCAGGAGACTGAGGCAGGAGAATCGCTTGAACCCAGGAGGTGGAGGTTGCAGTGAGCTGAGATCAGGCCACCGCACCCCAGCCTGGGCGACAGAAAGAAACTCCGTCTTGATTAAAACAAAAAACAAAACAACAAAACCACATTTTAACTGTAAGATTCTCAAATGTTTGTTTTATTATTTAAATTTTGTTTCTTAGAAAATGATTGTAGGCAAGATGCTAATGAAACATCAATGTATTTCATAGTTCCCTTAAGTTCTGAGTTGAAGAGTTGAAAAATTAAGCCAGTAAACCTAAATTGATTAGATAACCAGTAGATATGTCTCTGTGGGAGAATGTATAGGGGCTTTTTTTTTTTTTAACTTTGTGGTTTTTAAAAGTTCTAAAACTTTTTCTGCCTTAAAAATGCATTGCTCAAGTTCTTCTGCTCTGAAAAAAGTCCGCATTGCTCTTATAAGCTGGAAAAACTTCAGAGCATACTTTTTGGAGGGGGTGAAATTTGCATAACAGATCATTACTGTTTTAAAGTCAACAACTCAGTGGCATTTGGCATGGTCACAGTGTGGTGTGAGCACCGCCTCCATCCAGCTCTGTAGGATCTTAGTAAGAAACCCAAACATGCGTGTTTGGAAGCTGGTATCACTTATTCCTTCCCCATGGGTAAATGGAGCACTTTACAGTTTACTCTTTTAACTATTCCAAGTTTTATACCTCATGGAGATACCACCCACTACAGTAAACCATACTTCACACTCTGAGGGCTAAAGGGACATTTCTTCCCCAAGAACAGCAAACTTCCCCTTGCCGTTCGATGCTATGACTCTCTCCCCATTGATACACTGTGGTTCTATGGTGCCCTGAATAAAACATGTTTATTTCACCTTACTGTTAAATGTGGTCTTTTGGGTTTTAAATTTAATCATATTCATCTACAGTCAAAATTTAAATGTGGCTGGGTATGATGGCTCATGCCTATCATCCCTGCGTCTTAGGAGACTGAGGCAGGAGAATCACTTGAGGCCAGGAGTTCCAGACGAGCCTTGGCCATATAGAAAAACCTGTCTCTGCAAAAAAAAAAAAAAACCAAAAAAACAAAACAACCTAGCAAAATTAGCTGAGTGTAGTGGCATGCACCTGTGGTCCTAATTACTTTGGAGGCTGAGGCAGGAGGATCACTGGAGCCCAGAAGTTCATGGCTGCAGTGAGCTATGATATGCCACTGCACTCCAGCCTGGGTGACAGAGTGAGGTGCTGTATCTTTAAAAACTTCTCTCTCTCTCTCTCTATATATATATATATGTATGTATATGTATATGTATAGATAGATAGATACACACACACACACACTTGTATACACACACACACAACTTGTTTATTTATGTATTTTTGAGAGGCTCACTCTGTCACCCAGGCTGGAGTGCATAGGCTGGCACTCTGTCACCCAGGCTGGTGAGAATTTCAGTCACTGCAGCCTCTGCCTCTTGGATGGAAGCTATTCTCATGCTTTAGCCTCCTGAGTAGCTGGCATTACAGGTCCCACCACACCTGGCTGGTTTTTGTATTTTTAGTAGAGATGGGGTTTCACCATGTTGGCCAGACTGGTCTCGAACTCCTGACCTCAAGTGATCCACCTGCCTTGGCCTCCCAAAGTGCTGGGATTACAGGCATGAACCACCATGCCCAGCCGCCCCCCGCAAAATTTTTTTAATGTTGAGTTTTTACTTAAACTGAAGTTTATAAATAGATTTTGATTGTGCTTGAGTATGAAGGCATGATGTAATAGCTTGTAAGACTTTTGGAAAGCTTTGTGATCAACAGATGAAAGGATGATTGCCGTTTGAGTTTTGACATTTGACCGATAGGGGTGGAATTTGCAGCTCTGACTTCCCTGCTGTCTGTGTTTCTCACAGTCATTCTTCCTCTCTTTTCAGCGAGGCTCTCTTCTTAGTGAGCCTGCAATCCAGGTGAGAAGAAAAGGAAAAGGAAAGCAGATTTGGTCTTTGGAAAAACTTGACAATAGGCTGTTGGATATGAGAGACCTTTATCAGGAGTGGAAAGAGTGCGAAGAAGATAACCCAGTAAGTGACTTGAGAGAAAATCACTTAATTGGTAATGGTAGAAGGAACCAAGCTGGAATGAGCCCATTTCAGGGGGAAATGGTTCCTTTCCCCAAATTACAATCCTACTTCTGGAGTAAGGTTGATTTTAATCCCCTAAATTGTTTAGCAAATTACTGATTTTAATAATCTCTCTTTCTGCTATCTTCTTTTTTCTTCTCATTTCTGTCTTTTAGATTTCTAGCAGAATTCTCCACTTTCCATTCTGACTTCTGCTGGTGTGCGGGTGTCTGTCTCCTGTGCCTTCTGGGAACCTCTTTAGGACAGAGGCCAGGCCTCATTATTTGTCTCTCCTCCCATTGCTCACCCCGTTTAACCTTGCAGATAATAAACCTACAGTTTATGTTTTGTAAGTTGAACGTCGGTGGTGTCTTAATATTTACACTACGAGGAACATTTTTGAAGAACTTTTGATCATAGATCTATAAACTGGCACTCTGTCATCACCTTGCAGGCTTTCTCATTTAGATCAGATGTGTACTCATATGTATTTAAAATAGAAATGTATGTTACGTATGTCTGAACATTTTTTCATTACCTTTAGGCCTGTTTCCACATAGAGTTGTTTACTTCCTTTGTCTTTTGTTTTCTAAAAATGGTTTTTCCAGATTGTCTTCAATAAAAATGTTACTTAGGTGACGTTTTTGCTTAAAAAATGTTTGTCTAGGTCCGGGCGCGGTGGCTCACATCTGTAATCTCAGCACTTTGGGAGGCCGAGGCGGGTGGATCACCAGGTCAAGAGATCGAGACCATCCTGGTCAGCATGGTGAAACCCCGTCTCTACTAAAAATACAAAAAATTAGCTGGGCATGGTGGCGCGTGCCTGTAATCCCAGCTACTCGGGAGGCTGAGGCAGGAGAATTGCCTGAACCCAGGAGGCGGAGGTTGCGGTGAGCAGAGATTGCACCATTGCACTCCAACCTGGGGAACAAGAGCGAAACTCCGTCTCAAAAAAAAAAAAAAAGTTTGTCTCTTTGGTACCCCTCTCCGATTTCAACTTAGAAGTAAAACAACAAAACAAATACAAAAAAGCGACTGCCATGAGGGCTCAGCTTTCTTTTCTTTTTTCTTTTTTTTTTTTTAGACAGAGTCTATCTCTGTCTCCAAGGCTGGAGTGCAGTGACATGATCTCAGCTCACTGCAACCTCCTCCTCCTGGGTACAAGTGATTGTCCTGCCTCAGCCTCCCAAGTATCTGAGATTACAAGTGCCCGCCACTGCGCCTGGCTAATTTTTGTATTTTTAGTAGAGACAGAGTTTCGCCATGTTGACAATGCTGGTCTCGAACTCCTGACTTCAGGTGATTCTCCCACCTCGGCCTCCCCAAGTGCTGGGATTATAGGCGTGAGGGCTCATCTTTTATTAGCAGTAGCGTATATGATGACTTCCTAGGAACAAGCAGAGCAGATATGAATTACTGTCTTCCCCAAAAGAAAAGTGAAGCGTAGTTTTCCACACTCTACTTCTTTTTCTGGTCAACATATATCGTTTGTTTATTTTGTGGCAAGATTTCCATGTAAAGGAGAATAACTGCTAAAAGTAATAACCTGTTATTGGGATCACTCGGACTTGGGTGGAGGATGCTGACCTCCGCTGTGAATGGGAATGCGGAAGAGAGTGTGAGGGAGCAGTCCAGTGCTGAACTTAAGCAAAAACTTTAGAGTATTTTACTCTAAAAAGTACAAGCATCAGGATGATGAAAGTTCAGCTTCATGACGTAAGTGTATGAAAAAGCAGTAGGCTGAGTGCATGTATTGTAAGTGATTTTTCGGAAGTTACATATTAATCTCTTTGCAGGTAATCCGATCATACTTCAAACGTGCTGATCCATTCTACGATGAGCAGGAAAATCACAGTCTCATTGGGGTGGCCAATGTCTTCCTCGAGTCCCTTTTCTATGATGCAAAGTTGCAGTACGCTGTTCCCATCATCAACCAGAAGGGAGAGGTTGGTTGGTTTTCCTTCATGCCTTGTTTCCTGTAGTGAACAGTTTAAGAAACAAGAGGGTGGTGATGGGATGTCATTGCTCTTTTTTTGTCAGTAATGACAGTTAATGTGTATGTGTTTCCAACGACTCTGAGGGCAGAGTAACTGTCAGAAACCAGGCCTCTGAATTCCCACACGCCATTAACCTGACAACTTGACTCTAAAAGAGGGAGCAGCAACCAAATCTGGAGAAATATCTCTGACTTTCCCCGTTGCTGCAGGTGGCAGGTCGGCTGCACGTGGAGGTGATGCGCATCAGCGGGGATGTTGGGGAAAGGATTGCAGGAGGCGACGAGGCTGCCGAGGTCTCCTTTGAGAAGGAGACCCAGGAAAACAAACTGGTGTGCATGGTAAGCCTCAGCTTCGTCCTAGTATTAGTTTGATACAAAAGTCAGTGCCATTACTTTTAATGGCAAAAATCACGTTGACTTTTGCACTAACCTCATAGTTCAAGTGGGGCTGATTTTGAGGACTGGGTCTTTAGATAAGTATTATGTTCCTCTTCACATTTTGAAAGTAGAGCAGAGCCTCCCCCACTCATGATGATGCAAAATCCCCCCCATCATTTCCAAACACCCACTAGTGGGCCAGACCTGCTGGTGGCTGAGAATCCCTGCAGGAACCAGTCATTCTAAAAAGAAGGTGCTGGCGGGCAGGAAGTCACCAAGGGACATAGGTGCAGTGAGAAGGAGGTGAGGTTAAGTGAAGGAAGCCTACACCTGACTCTTAATTCATAGCCCGTCCTCTCTCCCAGGAGGCATTTCTAGAATCGAAGCGGACGTTGAAGGTGGTAAGTTAGACGTTAGCCACAAGGTAGCGGGAAGCTGGAGCTGTTGGAGTCAGGCTACTTTCTGCAAGGCTTCGCATATATGCAGAGGGCTCCCAGCATTTCAGTTACTTCACTAGGAGGGAGAGGAATCTTAATTCACTGAAAGGTCATATTTCTTGTATTGTACTTGATTTCGGAGCAGCTCCTTTGAGTCATAAGATGATCAGAGATGGAGACATAGACCTGATGACCCCACGATGGCCCATTTTGAAGGTGATGGACTAGCAAATGCAACTCAAATATCACTTTCTGCTGTTAAAGTAAAAGAACACATAAGGGCACTTCTCACTTGGGAAATGTACTCTTATTACCAAAATAAAGTAGTATATTCTGAGAAATATGGGCTGCTTAAAGTGAGGTTAAAGTACCTTGTTTTTACTAAGAGAAGACATCAAACATATATAAAAGTAGGGAGAAAGGTGTTACCGATGCCCATGCCCATTGACCTTTGCTCCACAGCTACCACCTGTGGTCAACCTTGTTTCACTCATACACTCAGCTGCTTCCATGCCGCCCCTTCCACTAACATCCTAAGCACCTCAGCATCGTATCTTACCTGCAAATAGTTCAGTGTGTGTCTCCAAAAGATGAGTTCTTAAGCCAATGTAACCATAATTGTCAAAATTAATAATTTGTCAAAAATTAATGATTTCTTTCTATTGGAAAATCGTCAGTTTCCTTAATTGCCTTGGTTGGTGTGTGTCTGGCATCCGTTTCAGTCTGGTACGCTCACACTCTCTCACTTGCTTGCTCACTCTCTTTGCCTCTCTCACCAAACCTGCAATTTATGTATCGTAGAAACTGGGTTATTGTAGTTTCCCATAGTCTGGCTTCTGCCGATTGGTGTTGCCTAGGGTGTTAAGACACATTTTCTGAAAATTGGTAGTTAGATATAAAGGTGTTTCCTGGGGGAGGGAGGCAGCCCAAGGGCTTGGTCAGTGGTACCCTGTGTTCTTCCATCAGGAGCCACATCTTATCTGCGTGTTTGTCTTTGGGGGATGATCAGCCATGGATGATGATTACCAAGATGCATTATTTTGTTAGGAGTTACAAAAGAATGGTACTATAATTCTATTGTCATTTCATTTTTCTCCAGAGAAAAAGTCTTCCTATTACCAACTACTTTGCTATACAGAGATAGTTTGTGTAGAAAAGGAGGGATAAATGCTCCATCTCTCCCTTTATTTACAGATTTTATCTATTTATTTCTTTTATTTGTGAGACAGAGTCTCACTATGTCACCCAGGCTGGAGTGCAGTGGTGTGATTTCGGCTCACTGTAGCCTCTGCCTCCCAGGTTCAAGTGGTTCTCCCGCCTCAGCCTCCTGACTAGCCGTGTCACCATGCCCAGCTAATTTTTGTATTTTTAGCAGAGATGGGGGTTTTGCCATGTTGGCCAAGGCTGGTCTTGAACTCCTGGCCTCAAGTGATCCACCTGCCTCGGCCTCTTGAAGTGCTGGGATTACAGGTGTGAGCCACCACATCCAGCCTAATTTTTAAAATCATGAATTGGTTTTCCAAAATGTGACCAGTGAGGTTTTTGTCCTTAATTGTAACAGCATCAGTATGAACTCTCAGACTTAACCATATTTGGCGTGCATCTGTCTGTTGGATTCACACCTGTATTTAAGCACAAATCTTCCCATCTTTGGCTAGTGGGAGCTGCTTCAGTTGGCCCTTGATTCCTGTTGTCATAACCCTGAGCTTCCTGGACTGTGATAGCTTTCTTGCTTTCTGGTGTGATGAATATTCTGATCTCATCCTGTATATTTCCTGTACCAGACCTGGAATCAGCCATTTCTCCAAGGAACCTGATTCCTTTCAGTGGGAAGTGGTTTCAGAGACCATGTTCTGGCATATAACGGCCTTTTACATAAAAAGGACGAGGACAAATAAGCTATATGATGTTAAAACACTGGTGGAAAAACAAAAGAAAGCAGCCTGGAGACAGTTAAGATATCAGGGGTGAAGAGTGTAACTGGCCCCCAAAGAAGTCTGGATTTGTTTTTTGTAACAAGGCTATATGCACATATTGACATCTTCATGTTTTCAGTGATCATAAGTGAGGTTAGTACATTTATAAATCCTGGAACATTCCTGGGCTCCTCTGTCTTAACCGCTGCACGTTGAAGCTGTGGTATTCTGACATCTTGTGGTTTTAGTTTTTGTGGCAAAAACTTTTTTAGAAACCCTGCAAGACCCAAAGAGCCTGTGTTCCACATACTTTGGCATTCCTTGTGGCTGATAGTCTTCGTTCCTGACAGTCTCATTCCTGAGAGGTTGCCTGTAGTCGAGAGTTCAGCATATTAAAACTTGTTTCTTGTGTATTTTAACATTAAAATTGTGATTAATTTCAAATAAAAAATTTCAGATGGAATTTAGTTATACAAAGAAGTATGTATTGAACATGCATGTCGTCAATACCTGTTACGGCTCTTTTGTTTCATCTTGTTCCACTGGTGTGATCAGTCTCACCCCTGTAAAGTAAGGCAGCTACCAGTATTCTCATTTCACTTAGGAGAAAACTAAACCTAAGAAAACTAAGAATTTAAGCAATTTGTGCCAGCACACGAGCTAATAAGTGGGCGATATTTTTATTGTGTTTATTTTATGTAACTCCAACATCTTGTAACCTTCCTAAATGCCATATTGTCTTACCTTAAATAATATAAACATTTTAAAACAATGAAAAAATGATGGTTTTAAAAACTTAATGAAAAATTAATAGCAGAGTACTGTTTGCTCATTTTGGTTTAAAGGAATAAAAGGTATCAGCCAATCTGTCTTTCATAGCCTGTCGGGAAGTAGCTGTCTAGGTGTTTCAGATTCCTGTTGACGTCACAGAAAAGGTGAATTATAATGGTGGTTTCTATTTGATTGCTTACCCGTTATGTGTTTGCTATAGAAGAAAATAAAGTAACTTGATTTGTGTAATTTTGTGTGTGATTATTAATGCTTCCTAAAGAGAGTGTGTGTGTGCGTGTGTGTGCGCGCGCACGCACATTTTAGAGACCGAGTCTTTGTCACTCAGGCTGAAGTGCAGTGATGTGGTCTTAGCTCACTGCAATCTCCGCCTCCTGGGTTGAAGCAATTATCGTGTCTCAGCCTCCGGAAGTAGCTGGGACTACAGGCATGCATCACCACATTCAGCTAATTTTTATATTTTTATTAGAGATGGAGTTTCACTATATCGGCCAGGCTGGTCTCAAACTCCTGACCTTGGCCTCCCAAAGTGATCCTCCCACCTTGGCCTCCCAAAGTGCTTGGATTACGGCCTGAAATGTTAAGGTTATGTTTATGGTTGCTGAACTACGTGAGCTCTTATGCCATATATTCAGATTTATTTTCATTAAATGTATTTACTGGGGGTAGACTGAATCATACAGCGTGCAGAAAGTGAACAGGTGAAAAATAGGATTTATGATTAATGCTCCGCCATGTGAAAATCGGTTTAATCAGTTATATAGTTAGAATTTGGCTTAATCAACTTCAGGATTTTGTTTCCTTCATAGTTGGAGAAGTTTTAGAATATCACAGTTGATCACAAAAACTCCAAATTAAAAATCAACCCAGGCCAGGCATGGTGGCTCATGTCTATAATTCCAGCATTTTGGGAGGCTGAGGCAGGAGGATCACTTGAGCTCAGGAGTTTGAGACCGGCCTGGTCTGCATAATGAGACCTCATCTCTACTAAAAATCAAAAAAATGACCTGAGCATGGTGTCACACACCTGAAGTCCCAGCTCCTCAGGAGGCTGAGGCTGGGGGATCACTTGAATCCTTAAAATTGAGGCTGCAGTTAGCCACAATTATGCCACTACACTCCAGCCTGGGCAACACAACAAGACCCTGTCTCAGACACCCGAAAAAAAATCAGTCTAATGCTGCCAACCAAATGAGGTATTAGGAATATCTGGCTGCCTTAGAAACTGTTACAGGCATTTCTTCCAGGGCCTTTGGGTCTGATTAGACAAGTATCTCCAGTTGCACTTCGTTACAACCACACCCTGTCCCCCCAGCCCCCAGTTCAGAGCATGCTTCCTTTGATACCCCTTTCCCCCAAATCTACATAAGGAAGTCTTTCTGTAAACATTGGCCCAGAAAATCGTCAGTGTTTACCATCTTCACTTCTTTTCCTTCTCCCCCCAGATCTTTATACATTTCTGATGCTTTTAAGTTCTCCCAAACAATGCTGTAGTAGCGTGTAACACTTTCAGTTGAGAACCTTGTTTCCTTTTTTTTTTTGTCTCACTCTGTCGCCCAGGCTGGAGTGCAATGGCATCTTGGCTCGCTGCAACCTCTGCCTCCCGGGTTCAAGTGATTCTTCTGCCTCAGCCTCCTGAGTAGCTAGAAATACAGGTGTACACCACTACCCCTGGCTACTTTTTGTATTTTTAGTAGAGATGGGGTTTCTCTATGTTGGCCAGGTTGGTCTCAAACTCCTGATCTCATGATCTACCCGCCTTGGCCTCCCAAAGTGCTGGGATTACAGGCGTGAGCCACCATACCCCGCCTACCTTGTTCCTTTTTATACTTTAAAACATCAAATCTATGTTTCGCTCTTTCCTTGATATTTGTTGTTTCTTGGCATGTACACTGATTTTGTTCTGCATTCACTGTACTTGACAGTCTTGTTCTGTTCTGTGGCATATCCATGATTAGCCAAGTTCATATCCTTGCAGAGTGCTGATGTTTGACATCTGTCTTTGAATTGATGATGATGATGATTATTATTATATTCAGAGCAACTGACATTTAAATGTTCTTATGCTTCACAATGTCCACCTCTGTAGTCAGGGTCCTTGTAACCCCGTGTCCAGCTCTCGCTAAATACAGTAATTGCTACCACAGTTTTCCAGATGCAGAAGTCGAATCTCAGGTTGAACGGGATTTGGCTATCATAAGTCCTAAGTTAGTGACAGAGCTGGAACTGGAACCTGCACCTGTGACTCCGAGTGCTTGTTGCAACTCTCGGATTTCAAAACACACAGCCTTCTTTTTCCTTCAGGTTAAAATCCTCCAAGCTACTGGGTTGCCACAGCATCTGTCCCACTTTGTGTTCTGCAAATACAGCTTCTGGGATCAACAGGAGCCGGTGATTGTCGCTCCTGAAGTGGACACCTCCTCCTCTCCCGTCAGCAAGGAGCCGCACTGCATGGTTGTCTTTGATCACTGCAATGTGAGTTTGTTTTCCAGAGTAGGTCAGCATTTAGATCACTCATGTAAAAACAAAGCAGAAAATGAACCTATTTCTTTGAATAATTGTGCCAAGATATCTTGGAGCAGTTTCTGTGCAATGTGGGGATTGAGCAAAAAGTGTCAATGCATCTGTACTCCTCCACAACCCAAAGGTCACTTTTGCATGAGAAACAAATACCTATGTATGTATATGTGCATTTTCTTTTCTAAAGAAAATCTATGCCCTGTATTAGATTACTGGAGAAATTATCTAAAACCATTAAGAAACTTTTGTTTTAGAGAAAGCAAACATAGGTAGCAGAGAAGAGCTAACTGTTGAGCACCAAATGCTCTGTGAAGCTGTTACTTCTTCATTTGATGCTCACCACAGGTGTATTTGATGATAGTGCATTTGTTGTTGTTGTTGTTTTGTTTTGTTTTTTTGTTTTGAGACAGAGTCTTAGTCTATCACCCAGGCTGGAGTGCAGTGGCACGATGTCGGCTCACTGAAACCTCTGCCTCCCGGGTTGAAGCAATTCTCCTGCCTCAGCCTCCCAAGTAGCTGGGATTACAGATGCCTCCCACCACGACTGGCTACTTTTTTTTTTGGTATTTTTAGTGGAGATGGGGTTTTACCATGTTGGTCAGAATGGTTTTGAACTCCTGACCTCCACTGATCTGCCCACCTTGTCCTCCCAAAGTGCTGAGATTACAGGCATGAGCTACCATGCCTAGCCAGTAGTGCACTTTTTTTTTCCAGCTGAAAACACAAACAGTTCAGAGAGGTCAGTTTGCCCAAAATAGTTGCTCGTCGGTTTGTCTGTGGCTGGTGACCAGCTGAATGTGGACTGTTGGGTCCCCAAGTCTTTGTTGCTCCTGCACCACATTTGATCCAGCTCATCTCTTTCGAGAGAAAGGTCTCTTTCTAATCCGTTTAAAACAAATACTTCAGTACATTAAAGATAGAGAGAGAGGAGACACCAGCAGAGATAGGAGATTCTGTGGTTTCTGTAATAAACTGTCTTAGAGCTCATTCCTAATTGCAAAATGCTATCTTATAAAAATGGACGGGCTGGGAGAATTTTTACATATCAGGTCTTTTTTTTTTTTTTTTTTTTTTTTTTTTTGGTGCTAACGATTATTTCCCTTACCTCCTAATAGAGATAGGTAGCTTTCTAAAAAGTGGGAAAAACAGTTTTGAACACACTACCTTATTGCATATAATAACTTTTATATCAACACATTATAGACCAGTGTTGTAACACTTTGTACAATTAGACTTTTAAAAATAACTCTCAGAATGCTGCTAACAAAACAATACAATGCTGATCTTACATACTAGACTTCTGAGGTGAAAAGTTTTAAAAAATTTAGATTTATAGTTATGTTTAAAGTCAAGAACCTTAGGCCGTCTGAGCATTCATCATGCGTCTTAGCTGACAGTTCCGTATAACTAAAACATTCCTTTTTCTATTTTTTTTCTTATGTAATTAAGTATGTGATGTCTGGTATCAATCCTAAGGTTACCAGAAGGAGTTGCCTCTTTGTAATCAGCTATTGTGTTTCAGGAGTTTTCTGTTAACATCACTGAAGACTTTATCGAGCATCTTTCTGAAGGAGCATTGGCAATTGAAGTATATGGACATAAAATGAACGATCCTCGGAAAAACCCAGCCCTGTGGGATTTGGGAATCATCCAAGCAAAGACACGTAGTCTTCGGGACAGGTGAATGTTAGATGTTCATCTGATTCCATTTATATATGTGTAATTTTTTTTTTTTTTTTTGAGACAGTCTCATTCCCTTTGTCACCCAGGCTAGAGTACAGTGGCGTGATCTTGGGTTGCTGCAACTCCGGCCTCCCAGGAGTAAACAATTCTCTTGCCTAAGCCTTCCGAGTAGCTGGGATTATAGGCATGCACACCACACCTGGCTAATTTTTATATTTTTAGTGGAGCTGGGGTTTCACCATGTTGGCCACACTGGTCTCAAACTCCTGACCTAAAGTGATCCGCCAACCTCAGCCTCCCAAAGTGCTGGGATTACAGGTGTGAGCCACCATGCCTGGCCAGATTCCATTTATAATTTTTAAAGACTGCTAGAAATTAGTACTGCCATTTATGAAGGTTACTCTTTCCTGAGCATGACCAGGGTTCCCTGGAGGGATGGTAGTGTCTCCAGGGTATTAATCACGCAGGGAAGCGAAATTCACAGAATGATGGAAGAAAGTTCAATTTGTAGCTGGTTAAAAAGAAACAGTGAAATTAATTTTGGAGAGTAGTGACTTACCATTCTGAATTACTTCTAATTAATCAGGTGTAGAGAGGATGGATCAAGATTCACTCTAGAGTTCACACTTTCTTTGTCTTTAGCTCATGGTTCTGAGTGGCTTCGTTGTTGGAAAGAGGTAGGTTTCTTTGCGAACTTAAAAGGAAGCATTAAAAGGGAATGACTGAAATTGCATGTCTTTGTGCTTTTCATCTGCTTATAGATGAAAACCAGATTTTCTTTTCCTTTTTTGCATTTAGAGAGCTTAGCAAATACTAAATTAGAAAGTGAGATTTGAGATTTTTTTTTTCTTTTCTTTTTTTTTTTTTTTGAGATGGAGTCTCACTCTGTCACCCAGGGTATAGTGTGATGGTGCAGTCTCGGCTCACTGCAACCTCTGCCTCTCAGGTTTAAGCGATTCTCTCGCCTCAGCCTCCTGAGTAGCTGGACTACAGGCGCGTGCCACCACACCCGGCTAATTTTTGTATTTTTTAGTAGAGATGGGATTTCACTCTGTTGGCCAGGCTGTCTTTGATCTCCTGACCTCCTGATCTGCTCACGTCGGCCTCCCAAAGTGCTGGGATTACAGGTGTGAGACACTGTGCCTGGCCTGAGATTTTTTTTTCTTCATTCTCTTATTGACCTGAGAAAAATACTTGGCAAATCACTGAAGTACATGGCACTAACTTTGTCTACAAAAAGACAACCCCTGTATTTGCTTTTTTTTTAAAAATTTTTAAAAGAGTTGTAGATTATTTTAGATTTGGGGTGCATGTACAGGTTGGTTATACTGTGTAGTATATACCTGGACATACTGTGTGATCTGAGCTTTGCGGTGTGATTGATCCTGCCACTCAGATAGTGAGCCTAGTACCCAAGAGGTACTTTTTCAACCCTTGCCCACTCACTGCTCCCCACCCCTGGGAGTCTCCAGTGTCTATTGTTGGCATCTTTTTGTCCATGAATATTCAGTGTTTAGCTCCCACTTATAGGTGAGAGCAAGGGGTTTTTGCTTTTCTGTTTCTGCATTAATTTGCTTAGGATAATAGCCTCAAGCTGTATCCATGTTGCTGCAAGGGAAATGTGGATTTTGTTGGGTTGTATTTTTATGTGTGTGTGCTTGCTTCTTCTGTACATCTGATTAGAATTTCCATTTTTTGAGTAATGACTTTGAAGTAGATTTGTTGTTTTATCTTTTTGAACAAAGTAAAGGAGCCATTTCTAGTTCTGATATTTTAAATTTAACTTTGCTTTCCATTACATTTGCTTGTATGGTACTCACAGAACTACAGATCATTCTGAATTACTCTGTTGGGAGGTGATTTTCATTGTTAATTCTTATGTGTGTAGGATCCTAAGCTGCCTGTAATGAAATAGAAATGTATGATTTCCCAAGAACTTCACCTGTTTTCTAGATGGAGTGAAGTGACCAGGAAATTGGAATTCTGGGTTCAAATCTTGGAACAGAATGAGAATGGTGAATACTGCCCCGTAGAAGTGATTTCTGCAAAGGATGTCCCCACAGGAGGAATTTTCCAGCTCCGGCAGGTAACAAGATTGTGACTATTAATATTAGATTCTTTGGTGCCAGAAAGCTTAATATTGGCTTCTTTTTAGCAGAAGTGTTGGTGATAGTTAAATCTAGACTGGCCAAGTCCATTTCTTATATTAAAATTCTCCTATCTTATGTGTCACAAGTATTGCTATTAAATTTTTTTTTCTGTTAATAAAGTAGAGACATGGGGATCTCACTTTGTTGCCCAGGCTGGTCTTGAACTCCTGGCCTCAAGTGATCCTCCTGCCTTTGCCTCCCAAAGTGTTGGAATTACAGGTGCGAGCCACTGCTCTCAGCCAAGTATTGCTATTTATAATATTTTTAAAACCAGTTCTGTTAGTGTTAGGTAAGAAAGAGATAAGTTTTGTTGTTGTTGTTGTTGTTGTTGTTGTTGTTGTTGTTTTTGAGACGGAGTTTCGCTCTTGTTACCCAGGCTGGAGTGCAATGGCGCGATCTCGGCTCACCGCAACCTCCGCCTCCTGGGTTCAGGCAATTCTCCTGCCTCAGCCTCCTGAGTAGCTGGGATTACAGGCACACACCACCATGCCCAGCTAATTTTTTGTATTTTTAGTAGAGACGGGGTTTCACCATGTTGACCAGGATGGTCTCGATCTCTTGACCTCGCGATCCACCCGCCTCAGCCTCCCAAAGTGCTGGGATTACAGACTTGAGCCACCGTGCCCGGCCAGAAAGAGATAAGTTTTAAAGGAAAACTTAGAATTGATTTGCAGGACATAAACCAAACACATCAAACAGCTTTAGAACATGTATGAATACAAGGAGAAGTGATGAGACATGGCAGAAAGAATAAGCATTCAGACTCTCACATGCTTGGGCTGAATTCTGGCTCTCCAGTATCCCAGCTTTCTATCCCTGAGCAAGTTCAATAACCTCTTGCCTTCACTTGTTAGGTAGACATGATGTAACACCAATGTCAAAGGATTAGTGTGAGGATGAAGAGAGATGTTTAAGCTCAGGGCCTGACACATAGCAGGTGTTAACATAAACGTAGCTGGGTAGAAACACAGGCCAGAATCCACAGAACAGAGAAGGATATCAGAGTGGCCACTTAACCCCACGTGCATCTACAGAGTCTGTGCTGCCAACTAACAGTGAGAGGGAAATTGTTAATTTAATTTGTATACGTGATTTGGAATTTTTTTTTTTTTTTTTGCTATACTTGATATTAATACAATGTTTAGGAGACTCCCATGTTCTATGAGAGTTTCCATACTTTAAAACAGTAGTGAAATATTAGAATCACTCTAGAAAATGAACATAGAAAGCATTCAAAGCAAAACAGAGAAAATTAAATGAAAGAAAAATTGCTTAAATGTTTAAGTTTCTGAATGTTTTAAGAGGAGGACAATGATAAACATTTGTTCTCTGACCCCAGCAAATAAATTTTAGCAAAGTGGAAGGAGCTTAAATTAAAGCATGTGTTATACACATAAAGTAGAAATCTTAAGGGCGTGAAGAACATCTTTTTCTGAGGATCTGTTAAAAATATGTATATATCCTCTTCAAAGCCTTAGAAATTCATCTACTGGAAGGCAAGACTGGATAATTTTCTATGATTTAGTGTAAATTGGATATTTAAATATTTATCAGACTTCTGATACTCTTTACTAAAAGTGTTCAAAGAAATGTTGGGTTTTTCAGGAAAGGGCTTTTTGGAGGATATGCCTCTTTACCTTGATGCTGAAAAAATCATGCAAAGTCTGAAAGGGTTTTTCTTATATGATGGCAAAAACCACAATTACTTTTGCACCGACCTAATGTTATTGGCAAGAATAAAGACACAGAGGCCAGAAATTAGGTCCATCTGGATTGAAAGTCATGTGGACAAAGAGCTGGAAAGCAGAAAGGGAAGGGGTTGCAGAAGCTTGTGGCAGCTGCTTCGGAGGGTCTTGAATGCTTGGCTCATGTGAGTGTAACAGCTTTAGAAGTTGAGATGTATGTACTCGAACAGGAAGGTGGCTGAGGACAACTGATTAGGTCAAACCATGTGAAAATGGCTGTTTTAGTAGAAACAAATGGTCAAATAGCAGTGACGAGAAGTTCTGTCTAACAGTTTAAGTGTAGTTTTAAAAGTTTTTCTGTGGAATAGTAAACCATTCCCAAATCCTCTTGCTCCTCTCCTTATGAATTTTCCCTTAAAGTGCACATTTCACCCTTCACTCGTAGGCACAGATTCGAAATAGATCACTTTGGAAAGTAATTAGGCAAACCAAGCAAACAAAAGGTAGCTAATTGTAATGACAAAACTGTTAAGGCTATAAAATGTTTTCTTTAGGATTTTCCCCCCAAAATATCTGAGGCTTCGTCCTTGGTAATATTAAATCAGAAAATATCGGTATCCCATTCATTCATACGAAGCTTGATAGGATCAGTGGTTGCCTGAGTTGGTTTTCCTGAACGTGCAAAGCCCTTGGGAGCTAAAATCTGATGGAAGAGGGCAAGAGTAATTGACTTGCAATTGAAACATATTCCATTTTTCAAATGCTGTTTTACATTTCTAAAATTTACAAACCAAGTTTGAAGTCAGTAATTTGGGAATACTGTGAATTCTCTTTTAAAGTATTAATTCATTGTAAATATATACCAGGTCCCACATAATAAACAATCTGAGCAATCATAATTACTGATATTATATTTATATTTACTGATAATAATATATATTAACAGTTAATATATAATATATATAATATATAATTGATATATTTATATTAGTGATAATGTACTTACTGCTATATCAGTAAATTAAATATATATACACAAATTATGTAATACTGATATTTTTACTGATATTTACACTTACCGATACTGATTTTTTTTATTTACTGATATTATATTTATATTTACTAGTACTTTATTCTTTAATATGTCATGTTTTTCTACAGTAATACTTTAACAACTATATAGTGTTTCATTATATGTACCACAGTTTATTTAAAGTTACCAATATTATACATTTAATTAATATCGAATTTTTTCTTTTTAGAAGTGCTTAAGATTTTTTCTGTGTATGTGTGATTATTTACTTAGCTCCCTAGAAAGTTGAATTGTTGGGTTAAAGGAACTTATATTTTTAACTCAAATTGCCTTGCAGAAAACTTGTACCAATTTAAATTCCCACTTACAGTGTATGAAATTGTTTCATAAACACAGGGCGTTATTGGAAATTCCCCTTCTAAAAGATAATTGCCAGTTTAGGAAGTGAAAATAAAGGTGTATCATGCTTTACTTTAATTTGTATTTATTTCATTATCAGTAGTTGAACTTTTTTATTGGCCAGGGTTTGCATTTCCTTTGTTAGATTTTTTTTAATGTTTCTTCTTATTGATAGCATATGTAAACAGATATTTATTCTGTTTATTAGCTCACTTAAGAGGGAAATGATTTTCCTGATTAGTTTTTGAATTTGTATTTTAGTGCTTAATAAGATATGGTGACAGTGCGTCTGAATTAAACATTTTTTCTCAACATCAGCCTGTAGGGGTCTCTCTAAACAAATTGTTGGATATCAGGAAACTGATTTTAAGACTCTAATTTGTCTGTGACCCAGGGGCAGTCCCGACGAGTTCAAGTGGAAGTGAAGTCAGTACAGGAATCTGGGACTTTACCCCTGATGGAAGAATGTGTATTGTCTGTTGGCATTGGGTGTGTCAAAGTTAGACCCGTCAGAGCCCCCAAAACTCACGAGACCTTCCATGTAAGTTTCTATACCTGTGATGTTCTTCTTGAAAGACAAAAATCAGACCAGAGTGCCTTTTGGAACCTGAAGAAAACTCCTTCCGTGAACAGTTCTTCCCGGGAATCTCTCTGTTTACCTTCGCTGTCTTTTTTCGTGTCTTGCATTTTCATGGAATCACTGCGTCGGACTGTATTACCGGTTTTGCCCTGGAGTAGGTGGCAAGCTGAGGGTTAAAACATCTCCGCCTCCCCAGATTCCACCGTGCCAGCTAGTGATTAACCTCCTCAACATCATCCCGCCCCTCTGCAGAAACCCCCTACTGGCTTGTAAAGACTATTTGCCAGCAGGTGTTTGATTTCCCCTGGCGAGTGGGACTATAAACCCAGCAGGGAAAGCATTGTACTGGTTCCGGAAAAGGTCAAATGAGTGTTCACTTTCCTGTGAGCGGCTCCAACTTCCTGACAACTGTAAAACCCAGAGTGAGGGTGTGGGCAGGTGGGAGGTGAAATTGTGTATTCAGTTGGAAAATATAAATTATGAGTAAAGAGATTGTTTAGCATAGACTGATTCTTGGATAAATCAGTAATTCAGTTCTATGTAATAAATTTTTTCTTGTAGGAGGAAGAGGAGGACATGGACAGCTACCAGGTAGTTTAGCACCTGTTAGCCTCATCTCAAATAAGCATGATTAAAGTATGTAATTATGCATTCCTGGATCTCGCTATAGTGTTATTTAAGGATTAAACAATTCATACTGCTTTTGTTTGCTGTTTTAGAGTAGGAAACATTGAGTGTTGTTTCGTAGACTGCAAAGTGTGTTAGGAGTGGGAAGTCATTTGTGACTGAGATCCTTTTCCAAGCCTGGAGATCCCTTCAGGCTCCCTGAAGATCTCTTCCCTGGACATTTTCTCTCCGGAGTGAGTCAGCACCCGTTGCTCTTATTACAGCTGTCTCATTCGGAGCTTCAGTCAACCCTATGTGTTTCACATTTTTTTAAGCCAGATCTTTCTTCCCTACTTCCTGGAATCATACAGCATTTGGGATTTTTTTTTTTTCCTTTCCTTTCTTTTCCTAACTTCTCCAGGATTCTGTTTCTGTCTGTGCAGTTCCATCTGTTAGTCACAGTTCAGGACTGTGAGGGCTCTTTGGAGCCTGATTATGCCATCCGTGCAGTCAGTCTCCTGGTTTTGTATCATTGTAATTTGATAGAAATGTCTGCTTTCCTATAAGTCACTGATAAAAACACTGTATCAGATAGGGTTAAATACAGCGTCCCGCGGCACAACAGCAGAGACTCACTTGAAGCTGACATGAATCACTGTTCCTCAGATGTGATATTCGAGTCCTCTGTGATCTCACTGAAGCAGATGCATCGCACGCTTCTCCATCTTGTCCACAACAATGTCATAGGCTATTTGGTTAAGTGCCCTAGTAAAGTCCAGACACACAATATCTGCAGCATTCCACTGACCTACCCAGTGTGGTAAACTTATTAGAAAAGGAAATGAGGTAAGATTGGTATGCATATAGGTGTTGACTGCTAGGGTAGTTATTCTGTTGATGATAACCCCTTTCCCCTCTTTCCCCCACCTGTCACCCCCCAAAATGCATGAAAACAAGTGTGAGAAGCATTTATGTGTTGTTGTCTCTGAGAGCCTATGCTGACATATAGAAAGCAGAAGTTGCAAAAGTTGAAGGATTCTTCTGATTATTCTAAGGTATATAAATTGGAAGTTGTTTTTTTTTTTTTTTTTTTTGAGAGAGGCTCACTCTGCCACCCAGTCTGCAGTGCAGTAGAGTGATTTGGGCTCATTGCAACCTCTCCCTCCCAAGTTTAAGCGATTCTCATGCCTTAGTGTCCCGAGTAGTTGGCATTAAAGGTGTGCACCACCATGCCCAGCCTATTTTTTTGTACTTTTTTTTTTTGAGATGGAGTTTTGTTCTTGTTGACCAGGCTAGAGTACAATGGCGCAGTCTCTGCTCACTGCAACGTCCGCCTCCCAGATTCAAGTGATTATCCTGCCTCAGCCTCCTGAGTAGCTGCGATTATAGGTGCCTGCCACCAGGCCTGGCTAATATTTGTATTTTTATTAGAGACAGGGTTTCACCATATTGGCCAGGCTGGTCTTGAACTTCTGACCTCAGGTGATCACCTGCCTTAGCCTCCCAAAGTGCTGGGATTACAGGCCTGAGCCACCATGCCCAGCCATACTGGAAGATCATTGAGTCCTATTTGTGGGTTTTATCCATTATAGAGACCTTTTAGAAGATTTTTGTTGCAAGTCCTTAAAGTTCTACCCCCAAGCCATTAGAAATAAAACTGGCTCTGGATACCGGAGAATACCCTTTCTGCTCTAGAAAATAATGCTTTCAATTCTGAAAATAGCTGTTTTTGAATTATGGGTGCAGTCAACTGGTGGTAGTAATAAGGAAATTATTGTATACTACCATACCATTCTGAAGTATACTAGAGTAAGATAGAGCATCAGTTTCAGACAGATTATCTTGACATTACATTTAATATGATTTTCCTTGCTTGCTTCTAGGATCGGGATTTAGAGAGACTTCGTAGAAAATGGCTGAATGCGTTAACAAAACGTCAGGAGTACTTGGATCAACAATTGCAAAAGCTTGTCAGTAAACAGGGTAGGAAAAACAAATAGAATTTTTTTTTTTTTTTTTTTTGAGACGGAGTTTCGCTCTTATTACCCAGGCTGGAGTGCAATGGCTCAATCTCAGCTCACTGCAACCTCCACCTCCTGGGTTCAGGCAATTCTTCTGCCTCAGCCTCCTAAGTAGCTGGGATTACAGGCACACGCCACCATGCCCAGATAATTTTTTGTGTTTTTAATAGAGACGGGGTTTCACCACGTTGACCAGGATGTCTCGATCTCTTGACCTCGTGATCCACCTGCCTTGGCCTCCCAAAGTGCTGGGATTACAGGCGTGAGCCACTGCACCCGGCCCAAATAGAATATTTTTCTCCCCTGTACATCAATGCATAATTAATTATTCTCCCTTTGTAGCCACATCAGTTAAGAGTCAGATGAACACATCAGTAGTGGGAATGGCAGGAGCAGACGAGTGTTACTCCTTGTTTATGTCATATCCTTTACTCAGCTGTCATATCTTGGTGTAGTCTTCCTTCCATCCCCCACAAAGAAAGAAAATATTGTGCACAAAGCAAACGTGGTCCCTCAAACATAACTTAAAGGTTATCTTTGGATAACCTTTATCCAAAGCTAACTTTTCTTATCCGGAGGGCTTGAGTCCTCTGACTCTGGACCATGCCTGTGCAGTCCCTCTGTAGGCCTCCCAGGAAGTGAAGATGGCCTCTCTGTAAGAACCCACCTGACCTCCCTAGCTGTGGGTTGGTTTTTTATCACTGGGGAGCACTCATCAGCTAGTAAGAGAAATATAGGCAAATCCAGCCTTGACTCAGGACTAAAAGATAAATGGCAAGTGGGGTTTCAGCATTGAATCCTCATTCCCGATGTTCTAGATAAAACAGAGGATGATGCTGACCGTGAGGCGCAGCTCCTGGAGATGCGGCTGACCCTCACTGAGGAGCGCAACGCGGTGATGGTCCCCTCTGCTGGCAGCGGCATTCCAGGGGCCCCAGCAGAATGGTACGAACCATGTGGTGTGTCTCGTGAGGCTCTGAACTCTCACCAGGCCACCTGCTTTTAGTCTGAATTTTACGTGTGCTGTGCTTAATGGAAGATTCACGATAGCATGGGGGGAAAATGTTTAAATCAAAGGAACTGTTAAACTATTTTCATGAGTTCAATAACTATGGCTTGAAACTGTTTTATTAAATAATGTTGTTATTGGCCAAAGTCATTAAGATTTCTGAGAATTTAAATCAATATTTAGTACCACTGCACTTAGCATTAAAAAAAATAGTTAATATGTTAATTACTTGGGTCATTCCCTTAAAAGACTGTTCGGTCATAAGAAAATTGCATCTCCATGCGATTTTGGTTTTGGTGCTGGCTTAAACTGTACTGTCAGCAAATGTTCTGTGCTACTTTATAGAAATTAAAAATAGTACATTTAGCCAGAGGGAGACTTTAAGTATATCAGTTTATAAGAAAGTAGGTTTAAAGAAGAGAACTTCACTACAAACAGGTGGGGGTGTCTTCTAAGGCTAAGTTCCGGTGTCGGCGTATGGAGCAGCAGCCACAGCGGGGGCTTTGTGGCCTCTCTGACTCTGGATTAGAGTACAGCCAGGGCCAGGGTTATTACTGCTCTGCCTGTAACAGCCCCGAATGCCATTAAGGCTGTGTTCCTGTGCGCATGCCGCTGAGAAAGTAGCCTGATCCAGATGCCATGTGTTCTTCATGTTTTAGGACCCCAGTTCCTGGGATGGAGACACATATCCCTGTTATCTTCCTGGACTTAAATGGTAAGTTAAGAGGTGTGTCCTGAAGGCTTAAAATTAGTGCCCACTTAACATGCAGATTCCAGCCCAGCACATCGCGAGGCAATCCTGTTACCCTAAGGCTAGGGCCGGTTTGACGTGTGCCCACATGCCCTGGAGGTAGACAGACTGATTTGTGTCGGATTCTCGTGTTTATGACAGTAATAGACGTGCTTCACCATACTCCTCGCCTCTCATCCCTGCAGCTCGTGATGCCATGTGGATGCTCTACTCTCCCAGCGTTAGGATGGTAGCAGTTGGTTTTTGTTGTTGTTGTTGTTGTTTTTTGACGGAGTCTCGCTCTGTCACCCAGGCTGGAGTGCAGTGGCGAAATCCCAGCTCACCACAACCTCTGTCTCTCGGGCTCAAATGATTGTCCTGCCTCAGCCTCCTGAGAGGCTGGAACTATAGGTGTGTGTCACCATGCCTGGCTAATTTTTTGTATTTTTAGTAGAGACGGGGTTTCACCATGTTAGCCACGATGGTCTCGATCTCTTGACCTCAGGTATCTGCCTGCCGTGGCCTCTGAAAGTACTGGGATTACAGGCCTGGGCCACCACACCTGGCTCTTCATTCATTCTTAGGGAAAGACTTCTCTCTGGAAAGGACTACTAGCAATACTCACAAAGCATGTTTCCTTGAGGTGTTTTCTTAGCATTATCTAATAAATTTCTCACTTTTTAACATAAGTTCTTGTGCCATTCATCCCTGTATTACCTATTTTTTAAAAAAAATACTGTCATTTTTCTGATTTCCACTAATCCCCGTGTAAAATATTTTGGGGCCGGATACATTTTATCTATATTCTGCCTGTAGGAGTTCAACCTGTAGGATGGAAAATAGAAAATGGAAAGGTAGATTAAGGATATAAAAATAAGTTAAAAGTCAGCAGTTGAATTCCTAAAACATCTGCAGGACTGTGTATTAATATGCATTCTCCTCAGGAGATGAGGGTGGTTCTCCACTGGTTTCTTCTGCCCAGCTGACGGTGAGATGCAATCTCTGAGGCATTTAGAATCTCCTGCCACTTAGCTTATTTAGATGGAAGATTTTTCTATGCATACAGAGTTAGAGAATAATACTAGATAATACAGCCGCTGTCTGTTCTCCTGATGGGGTGGGAGTTGTTTTTTATTGTTTGCCCCCAGACAGTATCCTGCTATGGTGTTCGCCTGACCTTGTAGCCTGAGGGTGATTCTGGCCTGTTCTTAGTTAGGCTTCCTGGGTAGGTGAGGCCCTCGTGTTTGGGTGTGGGCAGGGATGTGAATAAGAAAGTGGAAAAAATAAGCTTAAGGAAGATGTGTTAGTCTGGGGATTCCAGGGGGTGATCGGGACTTCGGTCAGCATGGTACATGTTCTCGGTCCCTGCACGCCCACCTCCTAGAAAAGGATCTGTGGATGTCTGCTTATCAGTTCCAGGTGAAGGGGAGTGGGGAGGGCCAGGCTCGGTCCTGAGAAACCAGGGGGCCCTGGTACAGCCCTTTGGTTTCCAACCATGCGGCCAGTGGAACCTTCTGCTGAAGGTTCACTGTCACTGTCAGGTTCACTGTCACTGTCAGGTGCCTGGAATCACCCTTGCTCGTTTCTCATTCCTTCAGTGCACTAAACGGTAGGGAATTCAGGTTCTAACTGGTCACTGACATTGATGAGATGACCTTGGGTAACCTCTTAGGTGTCTTGGTTTCATTTGCCTTCCGTGTAAAGCAAGGCATAAACGTAGCAGATGGGATGAGATCATGTTTTGAGGCACTTTCTCATCTGTAAGATCTGTGAACTTTTAAATGGTCATCTTCAGTGTCATGTAAAGTGGCGCAACAAGCAAATGAAATTTGAAGCGGAAGAATTTTAATAATCACATTGAAATTTAACTGGTAGGGGTTAGCCTTGAAAATGATCTCAGTATTTAGTGGAGCTTCTTTGCTTTTAGCTGATGATTTCAGCTCTCAGGATAATCTTGATGACCCAGAAGCTGGTGGATGGGATGCGACCTTGACTGGGGAAGAAGAAGAGGAGTTCTTTGAACTGCAGATTGTGAAGCAGCATGATGGGGAGGTAAGGAAAGCACACCTTGGGAAGAGCAGATGAAAAATGGTTCCCTAACCTCTCCTGGAGCTTTTTGAAACAGTTAATAATCATGGAACAGACAGTCATGCCAGTGCTTTATATTTCTCCAAATACATAAAGAAAAACCTTTCATCATGACTTCCAGAAGAATGGGGCTTAAACATCATATTATATCAATTCTCCTTTTCCTTCCTTTCCTGGTAACTTGTACTGAGCTAGTGTGGGCAGTTCAGATCAGCAGCAGTCAGGAGCTTGAGGCTCCATTCCTTGACCGGTGAAAGGTGGAAGCGGGGGCTGTGGAAGTGCATGGGGGCGAAATGGCACCAGGTTTGGGATTTGCTTTGTTTAGTTTGTTTGTTTGTTTGTTTAGATAGTCTCGCTCTGTCATCCAGGCTAGTGTGCAGTGGCAGGATTTTGGCTCACCTCTGCCTCCCATGTTTAAGTGATTCTCCTGCCTCATTTCCCTGAGCAGCTGGGACTGTAAGTGTGTGCCACCATGCCCAACTAATTTTTGTGTGTTTTTTTTTTTTAGTAGGGGTAGGTTTCACCATGTTGGCCAGGCTTGAACTCCTGACCTCAAGTGATCCACCTGCAACAGCCTCCCAAAATGCTGGGATTACAGGTGTGAGCCAACGCACCTGACCAGGACTACTTGAAAAGAATAGATGAAGGCAGTATGGTGACATCTTGATTTTAATGGTTGAATCTGAGTGATGGGTATATCACCAGAGTTTATTTTCTAATTTTGAGTATGTTCCAAAAATTACGAATATCTTCAGGAAGGAAAGTTGGTATGTGATGCTTTGAGGACGTATTATTACCTAGCAGTATCCCTAAGAAGCAAAACTGAATCTTAACAGTGAGGAATCTGTTGGACACATGCAGTGGCCATGCCTCCCATAGAGCACTGGGCCAGCACCCTTCCAGTTCAGCAGGGGCAAGTGTCACCAGGAAGGGCCGAGCGGCTGTTGTAGATTCGAGTAGAATAGAGGGACTTGACAATGACAGGCAGTGTGTTTGAATCCATATTCAAACGTTTGAATATGGATTCTGTATTAAATAATAGTGTATCGCTGTTCAATTTCCAGGGTATGATATGGACCTTACTTGAAAGGCTCAGCTAAAGTAATGTGTGTGTGTGTGAGCTGCGAGACAGAAAAGCACAAGTGGCCCAACTGTAGCAGTTGGTGCATTGTGATGAGAGGGGTGTGGATCACTGGAGTGAATTTTTGCAGCTTTTCTTGACGTTTGAGCATTTTTTAATACAAATTTTAAAAGTAAGCCACCCAGGATCATCAAGCTCTATACTTTTCAGGCGAAGGTGATTGTGGCCACACCGTCCCACTCCATCATCTCTTCAGGCGAAGGTGATTGTGGCCACACTGTCCCACTCCATCATCTCTTCAGGGCAGCTGTCATAGTAGAACTTTGCTGGTGACTGGCACATGCCCTTGCAGCCTGAGCCAAGGTGGTTTCCTCGAAAGAGTTTTCTGTTTCTGGAGAAGAGGGAAACCTATTTCCTTTCTGTCTTCTCTGCAGGCGAAAGCAGAAGCCTCCTGGGACTCCGCGGTACATGGCTGCCCTCAGCTCAGCAAGGGCACACCCGCGGACGAGCGGCTGTTTCTGATCGTGCGCGTGACGGTCCAGCTCAGCCACCCTGCCGACATGCAACTGGTGTTACGCAAGAGAATCTGCGTCAATGTTCATGGCCGGCAGGTTAGTGCTGAGTGGAAGAAATGCTGTGACCACAGGTGCAGCCCGAGGCACGGCTGTGCAGTGCTTGCTCTGACCTTCTGTCCAAACAAGCTCCAGGAAGCGCTGAGCTTTTCCTTCTCAGGTGACTGCTGCCGTCCTGGACCCATGCTTGCATCAAGACCCAGATGTGTCACTTGCCCCTGGACAGTATTGCTACACTGAATCTTTCTTAGAGCAAATTCACAAACCACGGTCATTCTTTTGGGTACCACACAGCCTGTCAGGGCAAGGCCAGTGGTTTGGTTGTTGCCTTGTCATCTGGGCCCTGTAAAATGAGGACTTTCCCTCAAAGACCAGCTATTAGTTCATTAGGAGAGGGCTGCCTACGCTTCTGTTTCCAGACTTTTTTTTTTTTCTGTGAGATGGTGTTTCACTCTTGTTACCCAGGCTGGAGTGCAGTGGTGAAATCTCAGCTCACTGTAGCCTCCACCTCCTGGGTTCAAGTGATTCTCCTGCCTCAGCCTCCCGAGTAGCTGGGATTACAGGCGCCCACCACCACGCTGGGCTAAGTTATTTTTAGTAGAGATGGGGATTCTCCATGTTGGCCAGGCTGGTCTTGAACTCCTGACCTGAGGTGATCCACCTGCCTCAGTCTCCCAAAGTGCTGGGATTACAGGCGTGAGCCACTGTGCCCCGCCAGCCTTTTGTTTTGTTTTTAAGAGATAGGGTCTTGCTCTGTTGCTCAGGCCGGAGTGCAGTGATGTGATCATAGCTCGCTGCAGCAGTCATCTGGGCTCAGGTGGGACCCCAGGCACATGCCACCATGCCTGGCTAAATTTTTGTATTTCTTGTGGAGTCCAGGTCATGTTGCCCAGGCTGCTTTCTAGACCTTTTACCTCTTGCAGTCTTTGATTTGTATATTTGGCTTTAGGACAAAAAGGTGAATGAGAAATGGGTAAGCCCAGTGCAGTGGCGCAGGTCTGCTGTCCCAGCAGCTCAGGAGGCTGAGGCCGCAGGATCACTTGAGCCTCGGATCTCGAGTCCAGCCTGGGCAATGCATCTGAAAACAAACAAGAAGAAATAGTCTGTGTCCTTCAAGAGCCAAGTTGATTTGCACAGGTAGATACATAACAGGCAACTGCTCTCAGCCCGAGCTGAGTATGTGGTGCAGGTCCTCAGCACTTGTGGTGAGAAGGCAGGTTAGAGAGGGAAGGATTCAGCCCAAGGGAGTTAGGGGTGGTGGGGGCATTTCAGAGAGGAGGGCAGCATGTGAACTGGGACTAGGAGGGACATTGGCCAGGCAGAGGAGGAGAAGATGGAGTTCTGTGGATAGGAGCAAATACATGTGCAGAGAGAGTCGGGAGGACAGGACGGGGCAGGCTCAGGAACCGCGAGGAGCACCATGTGCCAGGGATCCTGCCTGTGCCAAGGAGCTGGCTCTCCATGTAGTTGCAGCTGGATTATGAAGGACCTTGTGCCACATGAAGGGGTTTAGTACAAAACTTCTAGGTAACAATTTAAGGCCAGGTGCACTGGTCATGCCTGTAATCCCAGCACTTTGGGAGACCAAGGTGGGTGGATCACCTGAGGTCGGGAGTTTGAGACCAGCCTGACCAACATGGGAAAACCGCGTCTCTACGAAAAATACAAAATTAGCCAGGCATGGTGGTGCATGCCTGTAATCCCAGCTGCTCGGGAGGCTGAGGCAGGAGAATCGGTTGAACCCAGGAGGTGGAGGTTGTGGTGAGCTGAGATGGCACCATTGCGCTCCAGCCTGGGCAACAAAAATGAAATTCCGTCTCAAAAAAAAAAAAAAGAATTTAAATTTTTTCTGTTACTGGTTTTGCAAATATAAGGATTTGGGAGACTGCGTCTGGGGATCCTTTTAAGCGTCTTATCTCTTTCTCTCTCTTTTTTTTTTTTTTTTTTGAGACATTCTCAATACACTAACTAGAACCAGTACAGATGAAAATCTTTTCATTTAAAAGAGCACAGTGATGGTTGACAGGCTCCTAGATGTAATCTCCACCCCTAAAAATTAATCTTTAGTTCCAAATGTCACATTGATATCAATCTTTGAAATGAAGACTGGCGGTAATGCCATTAAAATTGCAGCTCTTTAGCCTGGCAATCCAGCATCAATAAAATCCAGGTCACAGGGTTAGCTATAGAGGTATATGGTGTGCTCCCATTCACTCTCTGTCTCCCTTTTCTCATAAGTGTGTGAGGGTTTGAAAAAGACACACTGCTCATGGGGAGCATTTTGAAGAGTGATTTTCCATTTCAGAATTAGGCAATCCTGGTTGCCAGGCCCTCAGACTAACCTGGCACCACCACCGACCCCACAGGGTCCTTGACAGAAAAGGTACATTGTACAGCCACCACGTGTCACTTGGTTTTTGTTGTTTCTATTGTAGGGACAATAGGTTGCCATGTTTTGTTTTTTTTTTTTCCTGGTTGAAACCGTGCGAAGTATTTTTAAGGCATGCCATTTTCTTTCTCAATTCCAGGTATTTCCTTCCTAAGAATGGTCATGTGGAAAGCCATTCTTTATAACAAGAACAGGAGCTTCCATAAGACGCTCAAACACACATGTCAGCTTCACTAATACCATACAAATGGAAAACCAAAAGGTAGAATAATAGTAGCATCTGCATCTCCCTTCGCCACCCTAAGGACGGCGATCTCTATACCTTGACTATTCTAATTAGCCTTGGCTCAGCACTGCAGGGCTAAAGTCAAGGGAGAAAAGCAGTGACATAAATGGTCTCTTTGCATTCTGAGATGCTATATTCTTTTTAAAAATTAACTAAAGATCATTGAATATGAAATAAATTATCGTTAGGTAGGGTTGTGAAATGGTGTATATCCAAGACCACATAGCTCGGCGTTGCTATTTTCTTGGGGGTGTCATGTGATTCTGCCATTCCTTTTGCATGGGGAGAAAGCTCGGTGCCCGTTTCACGTTCTCTCCCCCTTACCTTTTTTCCCTGATGGTATTCCGCTCTCATCCCTGCTCTCCCCAACCTCTGCAGAGTGTTCAGTCTTAGCAGCATCTCAAAATGAGTCATCTGTGCATTAATTCAACAGTTCAGTTCCTTACTGTGCAAAGAGCATAGTCAGCATAAACAATGACCGTGCACTCTTAAATCATTCCTCATAACGATCTTGCTTTGGTCAAGCATTTAATGCCTGGACTTGTCAATATTCATGGTACAAGATGTCGATCATGCTGGGAGGAAGAAGTGTGAGCATCACCAGTCCTTGCTTCCACCTGAGTTAGAAGGTCATTTTATTGTGTGGAACTCAACAAGCTTGTATTTCTGTAGCTAAATGCTAAGCAGCATTCATCCGTGTGCCTACTGCCAGCTTACAGTCTTGGTCTGTACGTTTCCTCTGTTGGGTGTGGGGCCTGTCCACACGGTGGGCGTCTAGTAAGTTGGTTTCATGTCACAGGACAACGTTGAGGAAACTACTTGGTGATTTCACTTGCTTAGTTGGAAACATGCTCCGTTTTCTTATAGTGAGAATGAGCCAGTATGTTTCATGCTGTCTTTTGTTAATGTAAACTCAATTTTTCAGGTGGGAAATCATATATTTTCTATTTTGTCTTTCTCCAGGGTTTTGCACAGAGTCTCCTAAAAAAGATGTCTCATCGAAGTTCTATTCCTGGCTGTGGAGTGACTTTTGAAATTGTCTCCAATATTCCAGAGGTGAAGGATATACAATTGAATTTACTAAAAATAAACACTTTAAAAGAGCCAACTCCCTGAAAAGTGACTTACCCGAGACATATGAATGAAGTGAAAGTGTTTGTTTAGGGAAGCTATAGATTTTTACAGGAATTCTCTAATATCCTTTCATAGTAAAGTGTACTTGTGGCTTTAAAACTTTTAGTATTTTGTTGAAGAACTTTCTTTTGAAAAGCAAACCAACACCTTTTTACACAGAAGATGACAGAAGAGAAACGTACGGTACCCAGGAAGGGAAGCAGCATAGCTTAGATATTCCACTTGGATCCTGAAGTCGCTCAGAAATCTTGTTTCTGTCATTTATTTGCAAAGTAAACTTGGGCAACTTACTTTGAACCCATATATATGTAGATATTTTTTCTTGTCAAATGGGGTTAGTAATACCTTCTGCACAAAGTGGTTTTTTTTGTTTTTGTTTTTTTTGAGATGGAGTCTCGAACTGTTGCCCAGGCTGGATTGCAATGGCACGATCTCAGCTCACTGCAACCGCTGCCTTCTGGGTTCAAGCGATTATCCTGCCTCAGCCTCCCGAGTAGCTGGGATTATAGGTGTCTGCCACCATGCTCGGCTAATTTTTTGTATTTGTAGTAGAGACAGGGTTTCACTGTTTTGGTTAGGCTGGTCTCAAACTCCTGACCTCATGATCCACCCGCCTCAGTAAGTGCTGAGATTACAGGGTGAGTCACCACTCCCGGCCTGCACAAGGATCAAATGAGACAATATATGCCAATTGATGTGCATGTACTAGAGAACATGTTATCGCTACTATTGTTGTTACTATGATTATTATTTTATTAGTACTGTTATTTCCCTGTCTGAACTAATTGAGATATTCAGAGGATTCAGACAAGTGGAGCTTAAACTGATCCCTGGTAGAAGCTTGATGGAAGATGTAGCGTATCCATGTTTCCTAAGAGGTGTCCTGAACTAAACGTGTATTCATTCACCCAGGCACCAGTACAGCTGGGAAATGGGCATCCCTTGCCAGGCCAGGAGAAGTGAGGGTCCTAGGGAAAGGGCTCTGAAAAGAGAAAAGTCCTTCTCCCACCCTCACCCTCAAAGAGCAGGGCGTAGGCAAAGGGGTGGAGACTTTGCTTCTTCAGGGGATGGAGAAGTAGGGGTGTAAGACATCAGAGGACACCCCTCCTCACCATGCCATCAACACCAGCACCAGTTCCTGTCATTTCAGGGCTTAGGATTTGTCCATTGATTCTGTTGAGTATTTGAACAATAGGTGAACAGTGTATATTTTAATACAGAGGTCAGCTTTTGGAGAAGAAAAATATTACACAGTACTTAGGCTTTGTTTTAGCTCTCTTGTGTTGCAAAATGCTTTTCCCTCTCAAGTCATGTTGGAGAGTAACTAGTTTTTCCCTGGATCTTTAAAGTGGTAGATTTGCTTAGTAAATATTAACCATCTAATTTAATTTGGAGTTTGCAGAACATCTAAAAATAAAGCCTGTTTGCAGTTAGTCGTTGCCCAGTCTTGGATCTATTACAGATTACTCTGTGCTTCATTCACTCGTGTTTGCAAGATTTAAAACAAGTATTTATCTACCTCTAGCTAGAGACTTACTGTTTATTCTCTGTATCTAAACACTTTCTATGTTTTCCAGTTGGTTCAGATCTTATCTCTGTAAATGGCTTGAATGCAGTTGAGAAACAGTGACGGTTTTAGGGAACTGTCTTCATTTCTTCCTTTTCTTTCTCCATTTCCTTCTCTCCCACTGAGTTTCTTACTCCTTTTAAAAGTGCTTTTATTCTCCAGGTTTTAAAAAGGAAGAAATAAGGGGGTTTCAGCTTGAAGATAAACATAACCTCATGATTGCACTGTTAATTAGCTCAACATCCAAACTGGCAAACATTGTTTCCACGTTATCAAATCTTGATGATAAAGGCAAAATGAAACATGAAGCTGATTGTGTAAAGACTAGACCTAAAAACAAAAGGCTTCCTTAGTAGGCAAGTTTCATCATGCAAAAGCCCTAAAAATTCCTTGTGTTCTGTATCACAGAAGCCCTCAGGGCATCATGGCCAAAAGAAGTGGTCCAGGCCAGAGACAGTTTCTTTCTCCTTGTAAAATCAGGATAATGTCTGTTTTCTTTAGACACAAGTATTCTGTATGGCGGTGAAAAGAATACCCTATACCAGGAGACATGAGACCTAAGTTCTGGCCTTGACTCTTGCCAGTTGTGTGGTCTTCTTCCTCTTGTCATCTAGGAAATAAGGATGATTCCTTCTTTTCATGGTTATTATGAGGTTCAAATGAATTACTGTGTGAGACAAAAGATTTTATGAACTGAAGCCATCTTACAAATCCTCCCATATTTTATCTGTTTTAAAGCTCATTAAAATTTTTAAAAATATCTTTGAAGTTATAATGTGTCTTACAATTGATGGTATCTTAAAATTAATTAGCAGAGGTTTTTTTAGCCCCTTAATCGTGTGTAAAATATTTTGTCTTATAGTTGATAGCATTTCAGATGCAGCGGCATACGGACACACATTTCGTGATTTTTGGCATTATTATAAGAAATTTATAAGTGAATAAAGTACCTGATTTTCCCTGAGAAAAGTAATTTGTTAAGAACCCACTTTGTGGCTCAGTGCAGTAGCTCACACCTGTAATCCCAGCACTTTGGGAGGTCAAGATGGGTGGATTACAAGGTCAGGAGTTTGAGACCAGCCTGGCCAATATGTTGCAACCCCGTCCATACTAAAAATACAAAATTGGCCAGGCATGGTGGTGGGCACCTGTAGTCCCACCTGCTAGGGAGCCTGAGGCAGGAGAGTTGCTTGAACTCAGGAGGTGAAGGTTGCAGTGAGCCAAGATCATGCCACTGCACTCCAGCATATGCATCAGAGCACGACTATGTCTCAAAAAAAAAAACAAAAAACAACACTTTGCTTGAAATAACTAAATACATTAATAAAGCCCCTTTGTGACTATGTGTGTCCCATTTATATGCACGTCTAGCTCCAGTCCCTGAATTGGGGATGGGCTGTACCAGAAAGCTCAGTGCAGGAGAACTGACCTAGATAACCTCTCCTTGGTCGGCTCTAGGCTTTTGGCCTCTGCCACTCGAGCAGAAAATTGAACCCAAGTTGCCATGTTCTGAATATGTCATTTACCCTGGGCTGTGTGGTGGCAGGGGCTGAAACCCTCTGTCCACTAACATCTCCATACCAGGCCTCCTCCCTGGGAGGCAGCTTGGTTCCCACCCTGTGTGGCAGTCACCCCAGTGCCTCTTTCCTTTCTCTGTCCCTCAGGAGTTTGAGGGCAGTGGGTAATGTTTCTGAAATACTGTTTTTATGGTGGTTACATTTCTGGCTAGTCTACAAAATTGTTTCTAACTAGTCATGGGTTTTTTGAAGTGGGAATGTAGTAGAGATCAGTTTTGTTGACACTGTGCTGTGTTTCAGCTGCTCTATGTTTAAATTAACTAGCCTTTCAAGTAAACCTAGTCACCTTTCATTATTCCCCTGGAAAAATGCATTGGCGTTCCAAAGCTGACTTTAAAACGAAATACATTCCGTGCACGTGTGTGTGTGTGTGTAGATCAAGAAACTTTTATAACATATAACTTTCTGCTCCTCAGGATGCCCAGGGAGTGGAGGAACGAGAAGCATTAGCACGAATGGCAGCCAATGTTGAAAACCCAGCTTCTGCTGACTCAGAGGCTTATATTGAAAAGTACCTGAGGAGCGTGCTGGCGGTGGAAAACCTCCTGACTTTAGATCGCCTGCGCCAGGTTAGCCAACCGCGTGGATAGGGCGGGCAGCAGAGGCTCTGGTGCAGGCTGAGTCTGTGTTTGACTCTGTAATTCAGTGTTGCTGCGTCTGAACATTTGAAGAGCTCACTCTGATGAACTTTGAATCCAGAGTGATTATAATTGGGTCATTCTGTCTTACGAAATAACAGCCTTTATTTATTTAATTTTAAAAAACTGTTTATGGGTATCTGGTAAATGTTTGTACTTAGGGAGCATGTGAGCTGTTTTGATACAGGCATGTAATATGTAATAATTATAACAGCTCTGTGGAAATAGCTAGGAATGTGTATGTATCAATGGCAAATGCCCATCTGCTATACATGGTGTTGCTTTCGTGGTGTGTCTCTTACATGTCTTTTCCTCTGTATGTTTTCTGATCCACAGGAAGTTGCGGTGAAGGAACAGCTAACAGGAAAAGGGAAGCTGAGCAGGAGGAGTATCAGCTCTCCAAACGTGAACAGAGTAAGTGTGTGGAACCCAGTCCTGTGCTCTCTCTGGGACCTCTCTCCTCTCCTCTTTTCTTGGGTAACTCTTCTCCACCTGTCAAACCCCATCTCCAAAGTCCTTCCCTTCCCAGGACTGATGTCAGGGCCCCGGTCTCGACCGCGATTGGCTCTGTGCACCTCTGCCCTCTTCCTACTGATATTGTAAGGGAAATAGCACTTAAATACCTTCCAGGTGTTTCTTCTCTTCCAGTCACCACTGCCGAGCACCGACTGAGGTGTTCAGTGAATGTTTGTTAACTAAACCAAAACTAGCCAAGTGCCCATGGCAAGCCAATGCCATTTTCTGGGCTTAAGTTATTTTTAGGTTGAGAAGGAGTCTGGAGTCGGTTCACAGACCGGTTGTTCACAGGACAGCAGGGTGGTGTCCATGCCTCAGATAGATTGAGCTATTTCATAACAGTGGCTTCAGCTGATTGTTGTTTTTAAAAACATAGATATAATTTATGTGCATATTGAACATGGGAATAATTATTCACAAAGATATGCTCTTGGCCCCTTGACTTATTTCTCTTTTCCTCATTTTTGATGAAGATGTGGATATGAAAACTGACACTTTCGTCCTAACTTCACACTGAGAGAAGTCACAGCACAAGCATGATGAGAAAGGGCAGCTGACCTTAGCCTTAGCATCTGAGAGAGAAGAGAGAGCGATCCAGAGTGACTGTTATTGGGTCATTCTGGTTTCATGCTGGAGAGTCACGAGGCCACGGCATGGCTGCTAAGGATGTCACCAACCATTTCAGACATGTAGGAAGATCACTTTAACTCAAGAATGATAAAGTCTCATTTCTTCAGAAAATGATATATTAAAATATACTGATATATGCAGGCATTGAGTATTTGGGATCTAGTAGTTTAAATAGTTTGTGAGTTTATTTACAGTTGCTACAGATACCCAGAGGACGGAATCATAAGCTCAGGCCATGGTAAGATAACCGGTAACCTGGCATCTTTCACACAGAAGGAAGGGATCACCCAGCGGGAGATCTCTCATTCAGGTCCAGGTCCTGTAAGATCTGGATATTCAGATCTTACTGAGGTTACGACCTCAGTGTGAATTGAATATCCAGATCTTACAGGAACCTCTCATCTGAAAGTGGTTCATAACCAATTCAATGTTCGTAATGTCCCAAAGTCCACTAGTGTGCAGCCTTCATCTTGACAAGCTCCCTGCTGCCACCCAACTTGACGTTTGATTGACTGGGTTGGCAAAGGCTGGCACTGCCTAGACCACGTGTTGATGCTGTAATGTGTAAAGAACTAACTCCCCGTCTTTCTTCTTCAGTTGTCCGGAAGCCGACAAGATCTCATTCCATCATACAGTCTAGGCAGCAACAAGGTAGGTGTCTTTAACTATTTCTGTCAGTTTTAAGGCCCATCTTCTCAAATCTCAGGTTATTTTTGCAAGCCAGAATTTCCTCTACTCACATCTGTATTATGGGAAACTTACTGGAAAGCGTTTAGAGTTCATTTCTTTTAATCTGCCAATTAAAATAAGGTTTTTTATTAGATTCTCTGACTACTGGGGTTGAAAAACAATTTTTCTGCTAAAGCTTGTACTTCTGTCTAAATTTTCTTTCTAATTCTGTCAGAAAAGAAACTTCAAATCAGGTTTTTATAGTGAAGTATTGATGTGTGACGATGAAAATTTATGAGAAATAAAAATGTATCTAAAAGTTAACGTTATTTGTGAGAAGAAAAAGAGAATGGAAATTTTGTCCGCTGGAATTTATTTACTGTAATAGAGCATTCTCTGTTTAACAGAGTTTTAAGCATAGAGAGCTCATTCTTGTTTACTTAAAAAAGGTAAAAGCTCCTTGAAACTGTCTTACCTGGGCCCCACACATGACAGTTTGTGTGTGTCACTTTTGAGGGGTCTGGTTAGATGTTGGTGCTGCCAGCCATATGCAGCGTGTCCCATGTTGATTTGCAGCCCTTGAGGAGGTCAGTAGTGGTTGTGGTCTTATGAGATGGTCTGATGTGAGGGAGTTGTTTTCGAATCTACAAAGTGGAGTGACGGAAATTGGCTGCTTCATGACAATTCTTAAAGCTGGGTGGGGTTCATTATGCTATTTCTATTGTTAATTATTCTACACTTTGCTTTTGTGTATGTTTGACATTTTCATTATAAAAACTTAAGAACAATGAAGATGAAGTTGATGCATTAATTAGGCACTTTTTTATTTTTGAGACAGAGTTTCACTCTTGTTGCCCAGGCTGGAGTGCAATGGCACCATCTCAGCTCACTGCAACTTCTGCCTCCCAGGTTGAAGCAATTCTCCTGCCTCAGCCTCTGCAGTAGCTGGGATTGCAGGCACCTGCCACCATGCCTAGATAATTTTTGTATTTTTAGTAAAGACAGGGTTTAACCATGGGCTGGTCTCGAACTCCTGACCTGAAGTCGTCTGCCCACCTTGGCCTCACAAAATGCTGGGATTACAGACTTGAGCCACTGCTCCCAGCTGGAGACTCTTTCTTAAGATCTAGATTATTAGTAGTTTGCCTACACTAGGATACATGTGTATGTTTATAGACATACAGGTTGCCCGCTCATCTGTTTGTTGAAGCCCTGCGTGGACATGGGTTTCTGTAAGTGTGCTGTTTATTCTCCGCCAGTGATAGGTTTGATTAGCTGTAGCTTAGTGTCAGTCTTGATTACCTGAAGAGAGCAGAGTTTTTGAAAATTGTACGTGATATTTTAATGTAAATAAAATATCTTAAGGAAAAGATAAGAAAAACATGACTTGCTGTTTGGGGAACTGTGTCTAATCTAAATCTCCAATTATAAGTTCCTTGAAAGAAGTGGCCAAAATTCTTCTGTTTTTCTTCTGTTAAGAAAACTGTGGCCGGGCCTGTAATGTCAGCATTTTGGGAGGCTGAGGAGGGTGGATTACCTGAAGTCAGGAGTTTGAGACGAGCCTGGTCAACATGGTGAAACCCCATCTCTACTAAAAATACAAAAATTAGCTGGGCGTGGTGGTGCACATCTGTAATCCCAGCTACTCGGGAAGCTGAGGTAGGAGAATTGCTTGAACCCCGGAGGTGGAGGTTGCAGTGAGCTGAGATTGTGCCACTGCACTCCAGCCTGGGCAATAAGAGCAAAACTCCCTCTCAAAAAAAAAAAAAAAAAAAACAAAAAACTCTGCCTAGTTTCTTATTTTAAATGAATACAGTAACAGAAAATAATATAATCTAGTTCAAAGAAAAGTACTGTCCATCATATACACCAGAGAAATAGAACAAAGGAGCAGAGACGCTATTAGAACCAAGCCAAGGCACGGCAGAGTTCTGGCTTCACACAGAACTCAAGCTGGGGGGAGCCTTGAGGTGGAGATCAGGGTGGGAGCAGGGTGGAGACCAATTTTTTTTTTTCCTAGACTGAGTCTCTCTCTCTCTCACACACAGGCTGGAGTGCAGTGGCCTGCTCTCAGCTCACTGCAGTCTCTGCCTCCCGGGTTCAAGCAATTCTCCTGCCTCAGCCTCCTGAGTAGCTGGGACTATAGGCGCACACTCATGCCCAGCTAATTTTTGTATTTCAGTAAAGATGGGGTTTCACCGTGTTGGCCCTGGTAGTCATGATCTCCTGACCTCATGATCTGCTCATCTCTGCCTACCAAAGTGCTGGGATTACAGGCGTGAGTCACTCCTCCTGGCCACCCATTGCTAAGGATGATGCTGAGGTTCACAGTCAGGGAAGGAGCTGAAGGAACACGGTGTGTGATTGAAGGCTTGGGATGAACCACCTTGCCATGTTCTTGACAGCACATGAGGTGGGAGTGAAGTCCAGGGTGTAGGGGCTGGGCGTGGTGGCTCATGCTTGTAATCTCGGTGGTTTGGGAGGCCCAGGTGGGTGGCTGACTTGAGCCCAGCAGTTTGAGACCAGACTGGGCCACACAGGGAGTTCCCTTCTCTGTAAAAAAAAAAAAAAAAAAATCTTAAAAATTAGGCAGGCATGATGGCTTATGCCTGTAATCCCAGCTAGTTGGGAAGCTGAGGTGGGGGAGGATCGATTGAGCCCAGGAATTTGAGGCCACAGCTAACTATGACCGCACCATTGCACTCCAGCCTGGGTTACAGAGAAGGACCACGTCTTAAAAAAGAAAAAAATAAAAGAAGAAGAAAAAAGTAGAGTCTGTGAGCGGAACCTAGAGAGGCAGGGCCTTATTTTTGGTATCCTGATGTCATGTCCCAAGGAATGGCAGGGGAGCTGGACACCATGGAAGGACTTGAAAGCAGAGCAGTAACATGGCCACATGTGAATTAGAACGTTTGTTCTAATGGTCCAGCTGGGTCTTACCCCATCCCTGGCTGTGGTGTGTGCATAGGAAATGTATAAACGTATACAGTTATCAGTGCAAACGTGGGAAAAATTGTTTTGAGTTGGAGGGTGGAGGGACTGGTTAGGGGAGAAATAGCCAGAGAGAGAAGAGAGACACAGACGGATTGGGGAGGGGACTCTAGAGTCCTGCAGTCGCCAAGAGTGAGGGGACTTGAGTGTTGTCGAGTTTGGGACAGCAGAGTATAGGTCTGAGAGATGAACTGTGGGTCAGGCTTTGGCAAGAAATGATTCAGTTCCATTTTTGAGGGTCTCAGGTGTCGGAGTTGAAGCCAGTTTCTGGAGCCTGAGGGGATACTGGGGACAGTGCGGGCCGGATTGGCTGAGGCAGTGGTGGCGCTTCAGGCGATGGTGCGGAGGCGGCAGTGCTGGGGAGGAATGAAGACAGGGTCAGGGCAGTGTCAGAAGGCCAGGGAGGGGGGTTTTAGGAAAGATTCTGCTCAGAAGCTTCAGAGACAGCATGGGGTGAGGATGGAGACCAATTCTGGTGTGACTGCAGGGCTCATCATGGCCTGTGCAGGGCTGGGGGCCAGTGGGACAAGGCGTATTAGATAAGTAACTGTCATGTTACACAGTTGTCCTAACGCTTCTGGACCTTCCTGCTGTTGGTTCTTGGTTCTTTGGGGTCCCGAATAACTCAGCAAGGGTGAGGAAAGCCTGAGTTCTGGCTGCTCAGCTCCCCTCCTGGGGCGGGGCCAGTGTGGGCACAAGGACGCATCTCCCCACGCTCTGTCATGTACCTCTCAAGCCCTGGTCACAGCACTCACAAGCTTATGTTACCTGTTGGAGGATGTCAGTGGGTCGTGGTTCACCTCAGGTTTTGGCCTGTCTGGCTCTCGCCAGCCGTGGTAGTCCCATCCTCTGAGACGTGGTGAAGTATGTCAGGGGAGACAGAGATGCCGGCCTGCCAGTCCTCGCTTTGCTCCCAGTTCAGCTGTGGAAACTCTTGGCACCCACAGGCCTGGAAGGTTGCCACAGATGCCAGGACCTCAGCGCCATGCGGCTCACCGCGTGTCAGATCAGCGAGTTAGGTGGATGTCCACATGTCAGAATGAGAGAATTGTTACTTCTCCACAGGGTAAGGTGAAGCAGAAATCTTCTTTAACAGAGTTGTAAGGATGGACCTTAACAGATGAGCAAGTTCAGATGATAGAGGAGAAAAATACTAGTCCAAGGGCCTTTGGTTCCAGATCCCCTTGGTGGGGTGCAGAATAGCTCCCCCATTTTCAGTGGAAGGGGCACAGTAGTCTTATGTAAAGTAGAGCATCCTGAAATATTCTTAGGGACAACAAAAATGTTTTAAATTACATTTTTTCAAGAAAAGAAAGACCCCCCCTCACCCCATAGCAGGGAACAGAGGCTCTCCCTGTGGCCTTTTAAATGAAACAAGGAAAAACATCTTTAAAGATTTATGTGGCCTTGCCTTGAAATCAGGATGCTGTGGGCCACCTGTAGTAGCATTTCTCAGGAGAGAGTAGTATTCAAGCACACAGTGGTCAGGATCCTCTCCAGCTCCTAGCACGGCGATGCCTGCACACATGTGGTGTGTACTTACAAGGGCATTGGTGGCAACGTGGTTACACACACACACACACACACACACGGCACTATACAGCTATAAACATGACCAGGAACTCTTTCAGGTATATGAAAAGATCGCCAGGATATATTTAGTGATTAAAAATGAGTGCAGAACAGTATACTGCAGGGTTGTATGTAGATTTGCCTCCGTATAAATGAGAAGCTGTAAGGACTCACCGTTCCTTACCTGCTCAGGATGGGTGGGAGGATGTGGTGGCCAGCAAGTGGGAGTACAGGTTGGAGGAGACAGCTCACCGTGTACTTGGTTTTTGGTCCCCGTGAACAGATGACCGTAGAGTCTTACTCTCTAACTAATTATAACTTGTTGCAAGTTTTTGCTCTTCTGCAGTTAGTGGTTTCAGGAGGCCTCCAGTGGGTGAAGAAATGGTTGTATTGGGAACCTCAGACTCATGATTTTTTTTGTTGTTCATTTTTTCTTTTGGAGACTTCCTGCATTCCTCAGTTTTCAGAGCTCCAGGGAGAGGTGAATAATTCATTAGGCTTTCCTAATGAGTGGGTACAACCACTGTCCTACCATCTAAACCTTAGGCTTGCTTTGACCTCCAGCTTCTGAATGCATTTTTAACTGTAGTTTTTAGAAGATGACTGCATTCCACACTGTACTAACCCTCACCCTTTTGTGAAAATCACCGTGACGGTGTGTCTGTCTGTCTGTACAGCCACGATGTATGCTGCCTTGCAAATGTTCCTGGTACCCGGGGCCAAGACTGTTTGTAAAAGTATTTATCTGTCAAAAAAGACCAGGAATGAAGGCATCCTACTGAGTTTAGAAGGTCCTGGAATGTGAGGAGTTGGAGTTAATTCATACTAAAATAAATAATAAACATTTGAGACTTGGAAGCTTGGGTGAGGGCGAGTGGAGCACTCCATGGCGAAGGTGCTCTGGGTGACCTTTTCACACCAGAGGCCCAGTGGGACCATCTTGGTTTCTTTGCATGAAAATATTGAAGATACAGGAAAGTTGAGTCAGAAATGTAATTTTAAGTTGGACTTTATGATGCTGGGAATGCCAGAAAATACATTTTGAAATCATTGAAAATTGTAATGACTTGAGTTATGTCTGCTCTGCAGACATTTTTGGGTTCTTTTCCGTGAATCCATGCAACCATCTTGCTGATGCTGGTGACACATGAAAACTGTAGATTGCAGGCTCTGTCGTGCTGTCTTCTGTACCACATCACATCACATGGAGCAGTCAGGGCAGGGCGGGTGGAATACAGTTGGAAGCAGACAGAGGCCACTGGGAGGTTCTGGGGAGGTTCTCTTAGTTTTCAGTTGCTCAGTTGGGTGCATGAGAGACATGGCGAAGTGGGCAGGGAGGCAGGTGCAGAGGAGGGTAATAGGATTAGGGGTGTGGGAGGCGAGAGGAAAGCAGTTAGGTTCTAACGACAGACTCATGGTTTGGCCTAATCATACTTGGAATGAGGCCAGCCCTGCTTTCCATTCCTCTGTTTGTCAATGCCCCTACGTATGAAAAGTGGTATTGTTTTACTAGGCTCCACCGAGATTGAATTGATGAACTAATTAATCTTAAAAAGATAGAGTTTGGTTAACTATTCCAAACGTTAAATTCACTGTAGGGCCTAAAATAAATCACTCTTGGGATAAGTCTTTCACTTAAAAATATAAAATACAATCCCTGATGGAAGCAATGTTGCTATTTATTGCTATTGGGTGTTTCGTCATTATTGTACAGGTATTTTCTATAGGTATAATGAAACCTTAGCAGGCTTTCTGTGACTGTCTGCCGACACTGGCTGAGGTTGAATCCCGGCGTGTCTTTGGTCTTTCCACCCCAGAGTCGGCTGCGCATTGAGGTCTTCTGCAACACGACGAACGCTGTTGACAAAATCATTTTTATTTCCGAAGTTATTTTAGGAGAAATTTTATTTTTAATGAGTCAGTTTAAGATTGTATGTTTGTCATCTTTTGATTGGAGTTTTTGAGGAAATTGAGATTAGTCAATAGCATGAGCAAATACCCGGTTAGCAGAATTGAATTTTATGTTGGCTCCGTCACCTTCCTGAAAAGTGTAATGGTTTCATGCAGCCCTAGGAGGAGCTGCCAAGCATGAGTCACTCTTCTTCCAGCTGCAGTGGAGCTGCCTTTAGACCCAAAATGTCACTGGCACTTCTCGTTATTTACCTTTTTGTCACTTTCCTGATCAAAACTAGACTAATTCCCAGAAAACCCGAAGAATTTGTGTCTGACAGAGGAGCAAGAGTGGGAAAACTGCAGGTGTCCCTGGGGACCAAATCAGGTCCCCTGGGAGCCTCCAACGTTCCTACCTCATCCACTTTGCCCTTGAGCCTGGTGCTGGCTACCAGTAACTGCAGCACTGACCAGGGTTTTCTTTCTGTGAGTCTGCCTGTGAGGACAAATGTGTCCCAATGGTGATAAAGCTGGGTAAGGACCCAAAACAAAGCCAGCTTCCCTCTTGTGTACTTGTATCACAGCCGATTCTGAAGTGTGATAGACATGCAGGATGTTAGAGACGGATGAGAGATTTAGATTTCAGGTGGTGGGGCGCAGATCACTGCAGGAGAAAAACTGGGATCATACTCTTTCGCTTTTAGACCCGAGCGATTGAGAGCGGGAAGTCCCAGCGCCCTGCGAAGTCCCTGAGTCTGGTCCTGAGTTCATCTCCCTGTGAAATGTATTGAACTGTTTTTTCTTTTCTTTTTTTGTCTGCCCCAACATTTCAGTAAAGGGAGGATAACCCTAGGACCGCCAAGCGTATGAAATGTATCTCAAAGACAGTCATTGCTTTGTCCCTGGGGAAACGTGTGTAGCTGTACCCTAACCCACAGGTTTCATCTCTGTCAAGAGAATAGAGGTGTGACAGAGGAGAAAAATCTAGTAATTCCAGTGGAGGGTTTCTGCAGAGCTCCGTTGGTGTCAGCTGGGGGAGGGAAGCGCGTGGCACCCAGTTTCACCTCCTCCGCATCAGCTGCTCCCTCTGAAGTGGAGCCTTTTCCATCCCAGCGCGATTTGAGGTTCCTGTCCCAGGGCAGTGGGATCAGAACTGTGGGGGAGGAGCGACATGTGAAGTTCCTCACGGCTAAGAAGGTTGTTCAGATAGAGGACAGAGTGAGCCGTGTCTCTGTTTGTCATGCTCTACAGGGCTGGCAGGAGCCACACATTGCGTACCTTTCAGTCTTCTCACTTGCAGTATTTGAGTACAGAAGACGGAGTTACTGCTTCTGTTCTGATTGGGCTGGAACCTGGCATTCTGGAGTGCCTGCTGGGAAGAACTGCCTGTGAAGCCACCAGGGCCTCGGTGTGCCTTGGGGAAGAGGTGGCACCTCCATGATTTGCTCTTGGCCTAATTCTACGTCAGACAGTCCAGGTGCTGACTCGAGATCAGCAGCTTAGTTTTCCTTAGGGACAGACTGCAGCCATGGAGCTGCCAAACAAGAAAAATCCAAAATAAGAAAATCAATGCTTCCAAATAAGTAAGTTGTCTTCAGAACAGCTGCGTGTGAGCTCACCACTGTACACAAAGCAGGGGGCTTTTCTCCTCTGAGAAACTCCACGGATGGCTAACCTTAGTGATCATCACCTGATGGGGATATCCCAGGATACATAAGGCCCCAGCTTCCCAGACAGATCATGAAGTGTGAATGCAAAAATTAACAAATCATTCAAATATGTAAATGAGAGTGTGATTCATGGAGATGCCAGCACTCGACCGGTGAATTATTTTAGAGCCCACAGTCTCACTGATCACGTGTTCATGTCTCTCTTGTTCCCCTTGCTTCCTAATCAGCCCTGACCATCACACCATTTTTAAAAACGATACCAAGTGCTGAGAGAGTTCCTAGGGAAAGTGGCTTTCTCTGAGGAACACAGGATCCAGATCACTTAGGGCTTATTGATTTTTATGATCAGTACTTACGTTGCTGCTAAAAGCAGATAGGTTTCCAATGCATTTCTGAAACCCAAGAGGCCCTTCCTCCTCAATCCATCTTTAAGAGCAGCGAAGAACTCGCTGTCCCCATCCTGCTGTTCAGGCAGTTAGTAAAGAAAGCTTGAGTTAATCGTTAGGGTCACTCATCTGTGCGCTGCCAGCTCAAGCTTGTATTCCACATGATGATTAAACTCCAGTGGGAAGAAGTTAGAGATTATCAGGGGATCACAGGGAAATTAAAGCTTTTAAAAGATTTGTGTCTCACCTCTTACCAGTTTTAATAAAAGCAACATTTGGGGTTTATTTCTTCCCTAGATAGGGCTGAAGGTAAAAGTGCTTTGATGGTATCGCTATTTTTATGGCTCACTGTGAAATTTGGAATGGTCTTTTAATCCCTCAACCGATGAAATCTCGGTTGAAATCTCTTTAACAGGAATTTACAAATAAGTTGAGAGCACAATAAAATTTGGTAATTCAGAGACTTCCATCATTGAGCATTTATAATTATTGACTTGGATTTGACTGTAATTTATCTGTAATACCTATTTAAAATGAGAGATTTGGTAATATTTACTGTTAAGATTTGTTAATATTTACTACATGTGAGTCAGTGGAAGCATAGTCTAGGAGTGGCGAGAAGAGACACCCTCTGACTCAAGAGTTGTTTCCGTGGAGAACTGAGTGAAAAAGGGTATCTTGAGGCAAAAGAGCAGAAGTGGCCTTAAAGCAGAACCGAAGGGAGAATTGCAGAAGGAATATGTCCGTCTTCTGTGGGAGACAACAGGATGCCCGGGGTAGAACACGTGGTGGGATGCAGCTGAATGGGAGATTGTAAATTGCTGTATGGAGGGGCTGTCCAAATGACGGGGTATTGTTGTTGGGGAATGTAATACAATTAGCAGAGTGACAAGCAGAAGAAAAGTGCTGGTCAGGCATGGTGCCTCACACCTGTAATCCCAGCACTTTGGGAGGCTAAGGAAAGAGGATTGCTGGAAGCTGGGAGTTTGAGACCAGTCTGGGCAACATAGTGACACTCCGTCTCTACAAAAGTAATAAAAAGATTAGCTCTGTGTGGTGGCATGTACTGTAGTCCCCACTCTTCTGGAGGCTGAGGCGGGAGGATTGCTTGACTCTAAGAGTTGGAGGTTACATGAGCTGGGATGGCACCCCTGCACTCCAGCCTAGTGACGAGAACCCCTGTGTCTTAAAATAGAGAAAACAAAGTGCTTGTGCAATCAAGCTTATATTCTACAAAGGAAGTTTAGTAATACATAACGGTTTTTTTGTCTTGAGTATCTGTACTTTTCTTTGTTGTTGTTAATGGAAACAAAATTGACAATTTTGTCTTTACTAGGGCCGGTGGGAAAGTCAGCAGGATGTATCCCAAACCGCAGTTTCCAGGGGAATAGCTCCCGTTGCCCCCGCCCTCTCTGTTTCTCCCCAAAATCACCATTCTCGGGATCCAGGTAAGTTATCAGTTCACTTGTCAATTACTGTCAGAAATCTGAGCATCTTTCAGAAAGTTTAAATTAGGATTTCCTGCCAGGCAGCTGCTGTTCTACTAGATAATGACCATCAGAATTGTTTGGGTTCTCATCTTAGCAGGTGGAGTTCCATTGGCTCTGGAATGTTGGCTCGATCTTGCATTGCCCTGATAAAGACTGCCTGCTCATGACGTGTTAGCCTGCACATTGCTGGACTCTGTTGGCACCTCTTTGTTAAGGACTTTAGATACATGATCTTCCCTGGAATTCTCTTTGTGGGGAGATTTTAAATTATAACCTGAATTTCTTTTTTTTTTTTTTTTTTTGAGACAGCGTCTCACTCTGTTGCCCAGGCTGGAGTGCAGTGGCGTGATCTCGGCTCACTGCAATCCCTGCCTCCTGGGTTCAAGTGATTCTTCTGCCACAGCCTCCTGAGTTGCTGGGACTACAGGTACCTGCCACCACGCCCAGCTAATTTTTGTATTTTTAGTAGAGACAGAGTTTCACCATGTTGGCCAAGCAGGTCAGATCACCTGACCTCAGGTGATCCGCCCGCCTCAGCTGCCCAAAGTGATGGGATTACAGGCGTGAGTCACCTCGCCCAGCAAGTTTCTTTAGTATTGGAATATTTATTTCGATCATTGTGTCTCCTCAGCTATCATAGGTTATATTTTTCAAGGGACCTCTTAGTTCATCTAGATTATTAAGTTTATTTTCATAAACATCGCTTTACCTGATTTTTTATTTGTAGGATCTCTCGTGATGCTCCTTCTTTCTATTCTGATAATGATGATTTTTATTTTCTCTTTTGAATACTTACATGACAGATGTATCAGATATATTAATCTCAGAACCAGTTTTTGGCTTTGTTAGTTTTATTTTGTGTGGCAGTTGATTTTTAAATGTTTCTGCATTTCACATATTTTTGGGATATTGTGCTTTTATTTTCATTCTCTTCAGAGTATTTTAAAATTTCCCTGGGATTGCATCTTTGATCCATGAGTTATCAAATAGCATGAATTCTTCTTCTATACTGGGGGTAATCATATTCCAGATTGTGTTCTGTCTTGGTTAATATTCTGTGTGCACTACTGTGTTTGCGGCCATGAGGTTCTGCGTATATTTAATTAGGTCACTGTGGTTCATTGCCCTGTTCATATCCTCTGGATCTTTAATGATTTGGTGGAGACCTATTCTGTGGGTTCTTGAGAGGGCATTAGATATCCAAATATGATTGTGAAAATTCTATTTCCCTTTATACAGTTTTTGCTTCATTCATTTAGAAACTCTGCTAATTAGGTACATGCACATTTAAGATTGTTTTATCTTCCTGATAGAGTGACCTTTCTGTCATGAAATGTCCCTTACATCTCTGGAGTTACTCTAACCTTGAAATTTCTCTTGCCTATCATTTGTATATGACTGCATCAAATTTATTTACTGTTTGCACAGTGTATCTTTGTCACAGCTTTTTACATTTTAGCATGTATTTGTCTTTAAGCTAAAAGTGATTGTCCTGTAGACAGCATATGGTTGGGTCCAGTTCTTTCCCCTGAATCTCATCTCACAGTTCCTGCCCTTTAATGGGCGTGTTTCACCCCTTCCAGTGCCTACCATTGAGGTCCGCCATGTTGTCATTGGTTTTCTACTTGACTGTTCCGTTTTTTGTTCCACTGTAACTCCTTATTTACCTTCTTTCGGGTTAGTCAAAAAAAACATTTAGTGTCACATTTTATTTCCTCTTTTTGCTTTTTGGGACACCAGTATTTGTTCACTAAAGTCTTCGCTCAGAAACCCTGCTTTGCATTCTTAACTTGCCCAATCTACGTAGAGTTAATATGATACCACTCCCCACCTCACAAGTACAGGAACCATGCAACACTATAAATCATTGACCGGTTCCTCTAGGCCCCTGATTTTGTACTGTTGTTTCATCTGTATTTATAGGTGTTAGAACCCTCACTTTATAATGTTGTTCCTTTTGCTTTAAAATAGCCACTTATAGGCCAGGTGCAGTAGCTCACACCTATAGTCCTTGCATTTTGAGAGGCTGAGGTGGGTGGATTGCTTAAGCCTGGGAGTTGAGACTAGCCTGGGCAACACGGTAAAACCCTCTCTCCACGAAAAATGGAAAAATCAGCTAAGCATGGTGGCGCACACTTGTCCCACTACTCAGGAGGCTGAAGTGGAAGAATCACCTGAGCCTGGGAGGTTAAGGCTGCAGTGAGCCACGATTGTGTCACTGTCCTCATGCCTAGGCAACAGAGTAAAACCCTGTCTCGGAAAAAAAAAAAAAAAAAAAAAAAAAAAGCTCAGGCCAGGCACAGTGGCTCATGCCTATAAAATCCCAGCACTTTTTGGGAGGCCAAGGCAGATTGGATCACCTGAGGTCAGGAGTTCGAGACTAGCCTGGCCAACATGGTGAAGCCCTGTCTCTACTAAAAACACAAAAATTAGCTGGACGGGGTGGCAGGTACCTGTAGTCCCAGCTACTCGGTAGGCTGAGGTAGGAGAATTGCTTGAACCCGGGAGGCGGATGTTACAGTGAGCCAAGATCGTGCCATTGCACTCCAGCCTGGGTGACAGAGTGAGACTCTTGTCTTAAAAAAAAAAATGCCATTTGTCTTTTAAGCACATTAAGAGAATACAGAAAAGATGATTTTTTTCCCCCCCGGATTATTTCTGGCAGCATCCAGTCTTTGCTGAAGATCTTTTTTCTTTTCATCTGATTTTATTTCTTTTAGCCCAAAGAATATTCTTTAGTATTTCTTAGCGCACAGTCCTCCAAAGTGCTCTCCTTTTTTGAAATTATTTTCATTTCACTGTTTTGTTTTGTTGTTGTTTTAAGAATATTTTCACTGCATAGAGAACTCTGGGTCACGGTCCTTTTTCTTCACCGCATAGAGAACTCTGGGTCGCGGTCCTTTTTCTTCACCTCATAGAGAACTCTGGGTCGCGGTCCTTTTTCTTCACCGCATAGAGAACTCTGGGTCGCGGTCCTTTTTCTTCACCGCATAGAGAACTGTGGGTCGCGGTCCTTTTTCTTCACCGCATAGAGAACTCTGGGTTGCGGTCCTTTTTTTTTTTTTTTAGCACTTCAAAGGTAATTCCTCATCTCCAGCCCCTTCTTTTATGCTGAGAATTCAGCCATCAATTGACAGTTTCCACTCAGTGTGACAGATTTGCTCAGTTTGCCTGCTTTCAGAAGCTTATCTTTGTGGCGATTTTGCTATGATTTGCTTAGGTATGGTTTTCTTAGTATTTAATTTGCTTGTCAAGTTCTTGGATCCGTAAGTTGATGTTTTTCAACAAATGTGAGAAATATTTAGCCATTATTCATTAAAACTTTCCCCTTTCCTTTTCCTCTGCTTCTTCTGAGAATCTAATTACTCACAGGTTAGATTGCTTAATATTGTCCAACAGGTCACAGAGGCACTATTCTTTTTTTTTTTTTTGAGACAGGGTCTCACTCTATTGCCCAGGCTGGAGTGCAGTGTCATGATCTCGGCTCACTGCAACCTCTGCCGCCAAGGTTTAAGCAATTCTGCTGCCTCAGCCTCCTGAGTAGCTCGGATTACAGGTGTCTGCCACTACACCCAGCTAATTTTTTGTATTTTTAGTAGAGACCAGGTTTCACCATTTTGATGAGGCTGGTCTGGAACTCCTGACCTTCTGATCCACTCACCTTGGCCTCCCAAAGTGCTGGGATTACAGGCAAGAGCCACCACACCTGGCCCTTTTTTTTTCTTAATTAACCTTTTAATCTTATGTTTTCTGGTTGGATAATTTTTTTCTGTGATTTCCAGTGCTCTGTTAAGCACATCAGGGAATTTTTCATTTCAGTCATTTTTTTTTTTTTTTCAGTTCTAGAATTTCCATTTGCTGCTGCTTTTGTGGTCTTCATTTCTCCATTGATATTCCTGGTCTGTGCATTTGTCAAGACTGTATTCTCCTTTGCATCCTTGGACTTGTTTAAGAAAGCTGCCTTAAAGTCATTGTTAAATCCAGTATCTGGACATCTCATGGTCTATTTTTATTGACTCCTTTGTTGACTGTGGTTCATACTTAATAATACATTCTTACCTGCTGTTAATAAGTGTTATCAAATGTATTTATATACACCCATGTGATTCACACCCCAGTCAAAATGTAGGACCTTGACGGGACTCCAGTTAACTCCCCCTCCCCACGGTCAGCCAGTGTTCTGGTGACTTCTCTAGATTACTTGTGCCGTTTCTTCCTTTTGGATCTCTATTCGTCTTAAACTTATTTTATGTTCTGTCTCCCCTCTTTTATTTTTCTCATCCTTGTTTTTGTCTTCCTGTACATGGTTTGACTTTTCTAAACTGAGTTATGGCGTGGTATAGCCATCTCTTTGCTTTTTTATTTTTCAGTGGTGGCTCTCATGGTTACAATGTATATCCTTAACTTTTTGAAGTATGCTTACACTTAGTATTCTACTGCTTTGTGTAAAATGTAGAAAGCTTACATCCGTATCCATCCATTTACCAACTGAATTCCCGGTAAGTTTGGAATCTTTTCAGGGGTTAGTGTGGAGTAGAGATTTGGGGGGAGTCGTGTGTATCTGTTGAGGCAAATGTATTCCTTAAGGTGACTTGCTTGTTCATTTCTAAATGTTATGTAAATACAGCTTTTTGTCACCTATGACTTGGATTAGATTTTACTATAAATTAATAGGGGGAAGAAATCTTAGCGTATCATAGATATACCTGTCTGTACCTCTGATTCAAGCCTTTGGAAATTAATAGCAGGTAAAAACGTAAGTTGTTCAAGGCGTCTCTCCCTAACTTGTAATAAACAACTTCCCAGAAGGTCAGTTTCATCATCTTCCTTCAATAAATAGTTATGAAAAATTCGATTGAGTAAGACATAGTCCCGACTTCAAAGAGCTTAAAGTCTAGACAGAGAGCTGTACATGTGTGTCATTGGCAATGTGACTTAAAAATCAGTCCTGTTTTATTCTAGGGCAGAAGTGAAAGCTTGTGCCAGCTAGCGACAGGATAGAGGTGAATTACTGTTTGATGCTGATAGGACCAGTGCATACTGGAGCATTTTGGCAGCACCCCAGTTACAGCTCTTTAATTGGAAAAGGGACATTACTATGTTTGAGGGAAATTACGGAAACTACAATAATTGTGTTTCTCTAATATTTTTTAAGGATACCTTTGGTTTTTATTGTTAGATTTGCTGACAAGCGAAGTCTGGCAAATGTACAGGAAAGAAAATGTATGTAATTGTATCTGTTTTCTCTTTTTCCCCTGTAATATGGGCAGGACTCAGTAACCTCGCTGCGTCCTATTTGAATCCCGTCAAGTCCTTCGTGCCACAGATGCCAAAGCTCCTCAAGTCTCTCTTTCCCGTCCGTGATGAGAAAAGGGGCAAGCGGCCATCTCCCCTCACACACCAGGTAAAGAGCATCGAGAAAGCAGCTGTGAACGTTTTTCTAATAGACGGGCACTCTGTGTTGCGCCCAAGCTAGAGATGGAGGCACAGCGGTGGGGCCGGGGGGCTAAAGCCTGTTTTTGAACTCAGGAACAGCTGTCGGTCATTTCTCCTCCACTCTGTTCAGAGATAACAGAGCTGTTTAAACTTACGGACACACTCCCCCTTTCTGCTTTTAAAAGGTGCCAAGGACACTGCTAATGTGATTTATGGTCATATCACTTAGAGAAACAGTAGTAAAATTTATGAAGTGCACTTAGCATTGTTTGTGTATTGCCAAGTAGAAAATGTAATTCTATTTTTAATTCTTGATTTCATTTCTTTTTTCAAACAGTTTTATATCATGACTGCCCTTCCCTCTCAACCTCTGTTTTCTTTGCTGTGGATAACCTGTTCTTTCACTGAAATGTGATCACCTGTCTTACTGCCTTTTTTCTTAAAACTCTTTACCCAGCCCTAGGGTAAGTGTTAGAGCAAACGTGAAAGGGTTTTCCAAACAGTCAGGAAGCTGCTCTTAGGCAATGGTAAATGGGAACCCCATTGGAAATGCAATTTCCAGACTTATGTAGGTGTTAACTCAGCAGAAAATGATAAATGAGGATTTATTTATACTCATTCAAAAACACATACAGGGCAAGTTCTGTTGTCAAAATAGGTCTTTTGACATCAGCTTCTCCAGAACATTCGAGTTGCAGAAATGCAGGTTGAGTCGTCTGAGACACAGCGATTTGAAAGAATGTTCTAAGTTTATGAATGCATATTCAAGGGAGAAGGAATTAGTTTTATCAGGCTGCTGTGCAGATATATAATTTTTAGAAATCTAGCTTTAAGCATGTAAATAAGCATACACATATATGCAGTAGATGGAAATATTAAAACCAAGATTTTGCCGCTATTTAAACTGTATTGAACGGGGCATGTGAGGGGCTTATGGGTTACTGAAATGAATCTGTGACTGCAGGAGCTGAGTCTTGCCGGGACTGAAGTAGGCACTGATGATTTTTCCCAGGATTTTCTTTCCCCAGGGATCCACTGGGACTGAACCAGTGGTCGTTACTGTGTACGTTACTCAGGTGTAAACTTCTGCGTTATTGTTTCACAAAGTGTGATTCATCAACTGTCTGTCAGATTTACCAAGGGAGCTGCTTTAAAAAGGTTTCTCAGCCTGCCCTGGGAACCCATAGCTAACTTGGGGAGGCCTTGTAATCTGCATGTATAAGTGCCTGTGATGATTCTTATTCGGTGAAGTCTGATAACCAGTGTTTTCCGTTGCTGTGTAGTGAAGGCTAAGTCATGTCAGTTAAAGGAAATTGGAATCGTGTTGGAAGTCATGGAGCCAGCCTGCCATCATTACCGTTCTCGTTTAAAGCTGGTTTCCTATCACCTGCCACCTGTAGAACTTATTTATGCTCGTACTGTTTTGGCAACGAGTGATTAGCCCTCTCTGGATGTGAGAGGAACAGCAGTGTGTTAGAATAAATGTAGTGATGGAGAATAACTATAATTTATCATCCCCAGGTTACAGGTTACCTTGAAATACGTAGATTTCTTAAAACAATTTTTGTTCATTTCCCCCAGCCTGTTCATTTACTGTTTGAGCACATACAAGCAAAGGTTTGGGAAAACTGACCTCATACTAATACTTTGTATTTCATAAAAATATAAAATATATGGCTGAGTGTGGTGGCTCACACCTATAACCCAGCACTTTGGGCGGCCAAGGCAGGCGGCTCACCTGAGGTCAGGCGTTTGAGACCAGCCTGGCCAACATGGCGAAACCCTGTCTTTCCTAAAAATTCAGAATATTAGCCAGGTGTGCTCCTGTAGTCACACCTACACAGGAGGATGAGGCATGAGAATCGCTTGAACCCAGGAGGCAGAGGTTGCAGTGAGCCAAGATCGCACCACTGCACGCACTCCAGCCTGGGCGACAGAGCGTGACTCTGTCTCAAAATAAATAAAGTAGAGCCAGAACATTCCAGTTGGTTTGTGAGATCTCAGCTCCTTGGAACACATTTCCCTTTTCTCAGGGTTGCCAGGGAGCTCCCCCTTACCCACGTAGTCTGTCCTTATCATACAGACTTTGCGTCAACGTAATGCTGGAAACACTTCCACCTCCAGGCTTCTGTGCACCTTCCTTCGCCTGGCTTCCCTTCCCTCAGTCCTGGATCCTCTCCTGGGACTGTAGATTCCATCAAGCCTTTACCTACAGTGCCCAGAGCTCCAACTGGGGCCCTCCTTTTTGTTTTTGAACCTATTTTCTTCCAGGCATAAATCTCAATCAGTTCTGCGCTTTAACTGTTTAAACAGAGTAGCCAGAAAGATCTTTGGCAGCCCTGCAGTCCTCAGTGGTGTGACACCTGCCAGTGCTCCCCTGAAAGGAGTGAAGTGGGAATTTCTTACTGTGGCTCACAGCGCCCTGCAGGGTCTGTCCCTGGCCTGGAATCTTCATTCTTCTTTATTTGCTCACCAGTACTAAGCCTGATGAGTCGCCTTCTTAGCCTATGAGCATGCCAAGCGCCTTCAGTCTAGAGAGCCCTGGTGCTGGCTCTGCCTCACTCAGATTGCTCTTCCCAAAGGCCTCCCGTAGAACAGTCAGGAAAGGCCACTCCGAGGAAGATTGTCTGAGTCTACAGTGGGCTTTCCTGAACAGCCAAACCAAAACAGCTTCCACCATGTATACATGCAGGTACTACATTATCGCTTTTATTTTATTTTATTTATTTATGTTTATTTTTTTTTCTGAGACAGGCTCACTCTGTTGCCCAGGCTGGCGGAGTGCTGTGGCATGATCTTGGCTCGCTGTACTCTCCACCTTCCAGGTTCAAGGGTTTCTCGTGCCTCCACCTCCTGAGTAGCTGGGATTACAGGTGCTCACCACCACGCCTGGCTAGGTTTTGTATTTTTAGTAGAGACGAGGTTTCGCCATGTTGGCCAGGCTGGTCTCGAACACCTGACCTCAAGTGATCCACCCTCCCCGGCCTCCCAAAGTGCTGGAATTACACGCATGAGCCACCACACCTGGCCCATTTCTAACCCTTTTATCTGGAGTTTATCCTTAGGTTTATATGTTTATCAATGATCCCCCTCCACAATATTCCTTGAGCGCAGGGCTTGTGCCAAAATGGTGCCTGGTACATAGAAGATGCAAAATGTATGTTGTTTGACAGACATATGACCAGATTATAACATTATTATTATTTTAGAGACAGGGTCTTGCTCTGTCGCTCAGTCTGGAGCGCAGTGGTGGGATTATAGCTCACTGCAGCATTGAACTACTGGGCTCAAGGAATCTTCCGGCGTCTGTCTCCCAAGGCACTAGGACTACAAGTGTGCCCCACCACACCCAGCTAACTTTAAAAAAATTTTTATTTTTAGAGGCAGTTTCGCTGTGCTGCCCAGGTTGGTCTTGAACTCCTGGGCTCAAGTGATCCTCCTGCCTGGTATCCCAAGTAGCTGGGATCACAGGCGTGAGCCACTGTACCCAGACTATGGTATTAAATTGTAGGGCCCAGGTGTTACTCAGCGGTAGACAGGACTGAGTTTACAGCTTAGAGGTGAAAGAAGCATGGCTGAGTGGGGATTGGAGGAATGAAGACGTATTTAAGAACCTTCTTTCCTAGGTCGGTGGAAGTGCTAAAGAGAGAAAAATCTGAGCTTTCGATTTTGGATATAGTCAGTCAGAGATGCTCTTGGTTACCTCATTTTCACTGACCATCTCTACTAAAGCTCTGTGAGAAATAAGAATTGTAGATGATAGTATCAATAAAACTGTTTTCCTAACTTGGGTTACACTTCAGGGTACAACAAGTGAAACCCACGTTAAGTACGCTTTAAATATACTTCAAATGTGCATTTAATATGCTTTCCCTTGTACTCTGAAGTGTGTTTCATCCTTAGAAATGGGCATTTTAGTGCCCGTGGAATTGAAAATGATAGGAAGAAGAAAGATAGCAGGAAGAAGAAGACTCTTTTAGTGCTCCTCGTTTTTCAAGTCTAGTCATCTTTACTATCATGGAGTTCCGTGCACTTGAAATCCGACTTGATACCTACGGTCTGAAGTTTGGACTTCTAAAGCACTCACTACTCCCCCTCCTGGGGGTCCTCCAGGAACGAGGTCATCATTTTTCCAACTAATCTTTGCCTCAGAGTTTGTTCTTACCAGGAAGTAGAAGGCGTGGGGAGCACTGTCTGTGTGAGCTGCCTCACCAGCAAGCCCCTGTGTTTAAGGTTTTTAGATTAGCAAACATTCCTTAAGTAAGATCTTTAATCCTTCATGGACACCTGAAAAACGAATAACCATCATTTTGGATGAAGTGAGTATTATATCCTTTAGAATAGCTGTGTCTGATTTTCTTCTATACATATTTGAGTAAATGTTAGCTATGATGTAGAAGTTTCATTTTAATTTGTTGTTTGTGACGAGTTCTTGCTGTATTGCCCAGGTTGGAGTGCCAGCGGCGTGATCATTGCTCTCTTAGGGTCTGTTCTCTCCGGCCTCCCTGGTCTTAACAGCTCTGGATGAGTCTCATCTGGGAAATGCTTTGTCATTCTTTGGTTGTTTCGCCAGGGTCCTGCTAAAGTGAGGAATCCGGAAGTGAGAGTTCCCTGGACTTGCAAATGGTGGAAGTGTTTCCTTCCTCCTCTAAATGGCAGACTCTACCAGGGCAGCCTGGGACTGCGCTTGGCTGGGCTTGTTTGTGAAAGGAGATGTTAGTTCGTCGTGCTGTTGGTCAGGTGACATCACCAGGCCTTTTGCCTGCTGATACTCTTGTCACTGTACTTCTTCTCTTTTACTATTATGTGGTCTCCTTGATGTGTGAAAATAATGAGGAACTTCAGATTCATTCCCAGAATTTTTTTCTCTTTGAGATTATTTTAACATTCCCAGGATATCAAGATCATTTTGAGTAATTATTTTTTTTAAAAATGCATACAGTCTGGCTATCCGCACACTTGTAAAGG